GAAGCTCAAGCACATGGACCGTTCTTTGGCTTTATCAAGCTGAATAAAGGTTAACTATTACAGTCGGCTCTTCTGTTCTGTGAGAGCGGCTTCTAAAATCTGCCATGGCACGTACTGTACCTTCAGATGATAAACAGCAATATAAATAAAAGATATCATAAATCACCTTCTGCACATTGGGATGAACAATTAAAACGAGTGTAAAAAATATCATTTTGTATCTTGTTACTCCTTTGTGCTGCTCTGACTCTCGGATTTCTGCATTCTCTTACTTTCTTTTAGCTGAGTGCAGATGAATAAATGCCACGTTTGTTGGCATGGCTGTGGGTGTAATTGCATATTGTCAGCCGTCACGATGTACAACAGAGATCACGAACGGCTCCTCTGACTCAGTGGTTTGGAGCTGTCCATCTGGAACACCCCCTCTCTCTAACACACATATACAATATAACACATACAGTATACCAGGTGGTGCACACTGCTTGTCCCTGTTCCTGGTAAAAGAAATTCATGTCGCCAGCTTTGTTTCTCAGTCTTTGGTCAGAGATGCAACAGTTTTCATGTCTGAATGCAAATCACCAATTCATTGTCACAGAGGATTAAACTTAACTGGTTTTGGCAATCCTCTGACCTGTCCTTTAGCGCCACCATGAGGTTGACTTTCTTGTCATTCAATCAACAACAGTTTCATAGTTGCTATTATTGGATCAAGATTAGACTAAGATTAATTGTCATCCTTTGGTACATTCATGGTCTCCACAGGATGAATGTGAGGACGGCTTTGAGATTGATTGCAATCTGCAACCTGGCCACTAGCTGACACTACATTCCACACACTGAACCTTTAACATGACATCACTCCAGACTATGATGGTGAAGATGTCAAACCAGTAGCTTCTGAGCTTTGTTGTGCACAAAATAAGCCTCGCAGGGCTGCAAACATCCCAGGAGACTATAGAACTGCTCTGCTGCTGGAGCTGTGATTTAGCTAAATGTTAGTATACTTAATATTCTTATATTTTTCTGGACAACAGGGAACATGAAACCCTAATTTAAGAAAGCTAATTTTTAGGATATGTAGCTGAAGAGAAGCTTGCAGGCCACAGCTCGTACATCTGCTGAGTAATGACTGACTCATAGGAACTAGAGTTTTGCTGTGGATGACAGGAGGAATTGGGAAGAATGGCCATACAGTCACTTTAACCCACAGTGCAATTATGCAAATGAAAATCATTGGAGTGCCTCGTGCAGTTTAAATTCAAGACAGCAGGCTATTGATCAGGGCAGAGGGATGAAGCACTGATGAAAAAGAGAGAGGGAGCAGTGTCAGGGTTCAGCTATCAGCATGCCGATATTTTCAGGGATTTATGCTCTAACACGGTCATCTTATCTAAATAAATGTTTGTCTCCATAAATCATGCAGGAAACCAATCAAGAGGGGTACATTAAATTATTTTATCTATATATACAAATTTTATTTCCTCAAAGATAACTCCATACATATGAAGGAAAGCCTTGCTGTACAGTCAATAAGTGTTAGGTTCGGACAGTGTGTAGATCTTGTCCTGGTAATTTATGGATGTGTGAGTAATTGATGGCATGTGCATGCAAATGAAAGGATTACGCTCTGAGTCACTCAGTGTGAATGTTAGATGTATGAGTCGGTTTCTGTGATGGACCAAATTTTTGTGACTCACATGAGGGAGTGTGACACAAACTGTTGAAGATGGCAGTGTTCCCGCAGTCAGCTGAAAAATCATCAGCTCACACAACACAAACACTGCCCTCTCATGGCCGGAAGAGCACATGCTTCACCTGACAGCATCACGCCTTGTGCACTGTGGAAGTGTAACAAAGAATGTCAGAGGGATGAAAAATGGATTCCATTTTTGTTTTGGTATTTGTCATGTTTTAGGATTAATACACTGCTGATTTCCATATGAGATGGTTGAGCAGCAATCCAAACCCAGCAATATTCAGTTTACAATCACATAAGAGAAAGAAAAGCAGCAAATATTCACATTTGAGAAGCTGGAGCCAGATAACGTTGATGGTTTTGCTTGAAAAATGACGTAAATGGTTAATCATTTATCGTTATCTTTTAATTTTCTGGGCTTGCAGTGATTGATTGGAGCCATTTTAAAGCTTTTTCAAACCTTTTATTCATCTCTCTCCAGAAAGGTCATCTTGATAAAGTCATAGTTTGTCTTTAAGTATATTCACTTTCTTCATGGCAGACATTTTGACTCGTCATTGCAGGAAAAGCACAAGAGAAACACATTTAGTTCACTAGACGGGAGGGCGTACCTCCATCAAGGCCCATCAGTCCCCTGATGAAGCTACATTTTCATTTATATATCAGTCCCCTAAATATGCTTTACCTTTTTCATCCACATCCATTTATGATTTTTGAGGAATGAAGGAAAATGTTGAAAGAACCCCTGTCTCACAATGTTAATGAAAGACTCCTTTATCTGCCCCCTGATCCAGATCTGCATAAAATCTAATTTCTTGACCCACAGCACATCCTTCCAAAAATTTCGAGGTAATCCATTCAGTAGTTTTTGCGTAATCCTGCTAACTACCAAAATGACAAACAGAGATTAAAACGTAACATGCTTGTCGGAGGCTCGGTTCCACCTTATGTCCCAGGAAGTCATGACAGTGAGTGTGGACGGAACCCAGACCCTGCATCCAGCGCATATGGGAAACAGTCATTATTGAGTGTATTGATTCCACATGTGCCTGCATGGGCTGCAACAAACCAACATGTCTGCTTTGACAAAGGTCCACTGTGAATGAAATGTACTTCCTGAGGCCTTAACACAGACACAGACACATGAGTGTCTCTCATCATCCATCTCTGTTGCATCATGCTCTGACGCCCTGTTTTTACCATACATCTGTTTTTTCTGTTCGTTCTGCCAATTCTCTACAGCTGCTGGATGCCAGGAGAACCAAGGTTTGTCCCTATGTTTGCACCACGTTCTGTGTGCACAACATAGAGTCACCTTCAGTGTGGCGTGTATTTCCAGACACCTGGCAATCCCTTTGCACCTTAAAAACCTCCTGTCCTATGATTCCTGTAAAACCCCCAAGAAGTCAAAGATTTTCAGCACTGTAGTGTACCTCGTTTTACGGGGGCCGAGATGCTTCACAAAAGCACATTTTTGGAAAACATATGCAACAGACACAATGCGAAAGCCAACGCCACAACACAACCACAGAAACAGGAATGCGAAAGCCACACAATGGACTCACAACCACAGCGGAAGTGAGTGACAATGGATGTTGACCATGAATTGAATAGTAACTTACTGCGGCCAAGTCATGGCTGTTTTTGGGTCAAGTGAGGAATCGTTTGTGAAAACGTCAGTTGCCACTTAAAGTGAGATGCTTGTCTATTTGATGTCTTACAGTACAGGTGCCTGGATCATGCAAAAAGAAAAAATGAACCTGTACCAAAACACCTCAATTCAATAAACATCTCAATTTAAGAACAGATTGATTTGTCCAGGTCGTCACAAACGACAGCTCGCTTCACCAGTAAGTAACTCTGCATGCTTCATTGTCAACATCTGTTGGTTGTGGTTGTGTTTCCATCGTGTGGCATTTGAATTCATGTTTTCCATTAATGCACCTGGGTGAGACGTCTCGGCCACGGAATCCTTTGTCCTGTCAACCCTCATATGTTTCCCCACAAACACTGTAAAACAGGATCAATTTGTTTGATTATCTCAAACCAAACACGTCTGGTGCTCCATCTCCCTGTGGTATCACAAACCCAACAATCCCAGACGGCCTGTAAACGTTGATTTCAGTGTAAGAAACTGTTTCCACTCCTTTAAATCCTTACTGGGCCATTTTCTGGACATGGATTGATCTGTTATTTTCTCAGGAGAGTTCTGCAAGATGAACATTTCAACAGGAAAACTGAGCCCAAGTCAGTCTTTGACAGAAACTGGCCCCTTGGTCCTAACTCTGTTTCCCTAAACCACTACACACAATTTAATATGTTAGAACAAATAGTGTGTGTTGTGCTTTATTTTGTTCTGGACACACATAGATTCACAAACCTGCTCACTTTATCTGGATATGACTTCCTCTCCACTGTGCGTGTATACTGTAGGTTCTGTTTTCACCCTTCAAGAAGAGTCCACTTCAACCAATGGTAACGGCTCGATATCTGTACAGTATTTGTATCCAGTATTTGTGTACTAAACACTTTTCAGGGTATTGACATCCGTACAACCACTGATTCATGTTAAATTGGTAAGAGGGCTAGTTAACTCATCTGTTTTACTCCAGCAGGTGAAATGCCATTTTCTGGTATTATAGAAAGATCAAAGTACAGTAAAGTACAGATACTGAATTCTGAACTGATACTGAATCAGTTCAAATGTGAACGGCACCCAACCCCTCAGGATATAAGTATCAGTATACTCACAGTATTCGTGTTGTAGCCTATAAGAGAACAAAGACCTGTCCTCTGCTGCAGGAAATTCATCAGGGTGGTCTTCTGCTTTGATTAAAAAGTTAAGAATCCTCATTAATTCTGCTCCTTTGTATAAGCACAGAGCAGCACACTAATAAGTGTATGTGTTTGACAGTTGTAATTTATTTCAATCATCTATATATTTTATCAGTAAGTAGTTAAATTCTTACTGTAAAGGGACTTTGTTCCAGAATAAATAAAAAGATTTATTCTTCTTACACACACGTAATACTAAAGAAACCATCCAGTCATTAAACAATATCAGTTGTTAACTGTCTATTTACTTGTAAATGTATCTTAAGGTAAGTAATGTGTTTCCCCATGTTTGACCCACTGTTACATTTTTCCACAGAAACATGTGCAACAGCTTTTCTGAAGGGCCTGCTAATGTGTGATATTACCAAGAGAAGCTTTTTGTGTTTATTCCTTAAATTAATTTCAGTGATTATTGCGCCTCTGTGTGTGTATGTGTATACATGCATGTTTGTGTGTGTTTGTCCATCAGCATCTCCAGATGACCATCCAGGCTCTGCAGGACGAGCTGCGCACACAGCGAGACCTGAACCATCTGCTGCAGCAAGAGAGCGGCAACCGCTCCGGTTCCGATCACTTCACCACCATCGAGCTGACGGAAGAGAACTTCCGTCGGCTGCAGGCCGAACACGACCGGCAAGCCAAAGAGCTCTTCTTGCTGAGAAAGACGCTGGAGGAGATGGAGCTGAGGATCGAGACACAGAAGCAGACGCTGGGTGCCAGAGACGAGTCCATTAAGAAGCTTCTGGAGATGCTGCAGAGCAAAGGGCTGCCCCAAGGGCCAGGCAGGGCATCCGAGGAGGAAGAGCAGGAGAGAGCCAGGCGGATAGCCGAGGCAGAGGCCCAGCTGGGACACCTGGAGGTCATTCTGGATCAGAAGGAGAAAGAGAACATCCATCTACGAGAGGTATTTTGTGACCTAAGTTATGTTGATATGAATGTACCTTTCTTATCTCAGTCCTTTGGAGCCACCTGTGATGAATTCACTGTTAGAGATTAAACTGTTTTATATGTTGTAGTCACTAGAGGGCAACACTGCCTGTCACAAAATCCATATGCTCCGGTCTGCTGCTTAAATTGTAGCAAACTGAAAACTGCAGAGCACATCAGCAGTGTTCTGTGTTTTTTTTCTTTCAGCCAGATCGTCCTGCTGTCAATAGAACTCACAGTAAACGTACAGGTGCTGTTTAACACTGTGTCTTCTCTATAAGGAACTGCACAGAAGAAATCAGCTGCACCAAGATCCAAGCAAAACTAAGGCCCTGCAGACCATCATCGAGATGAAAGTAAGAATCTGATCAAATACAGAATTCAACAGAAAAATTAAAAAATATATTTTTTTTTTAATATTTAAATAATAATTATTACGTTTGTTATCCATCTGCAATAATTTTCATTGGCTGTTCTTTGTGAATGTGATCTTGTACTTCACTGCTGACTTTCTAAATTTAGGCCTTCACTGATCACTCTGTTGTTGTCATTGTGATCCTCAGCAGCTGAGTCAATAGTCAACACTGTCACATTTCTCTATCTCTATCACACACACACACACACACAGTATCACAAAGCAGTTGTGTAAACATGAATGAGAATTAATTTTATTGTTAGAACATTTCGGTTTTTATGTTGCTCACTGAACAGATACTGTTTCATTTAAATGCAGCGTTAATAATAAAAATTACAGATTATCTGCAAATATCACAGATCATGCATCTGTTATTTCAACCTCATTTCATGCAGGTTTTCCATGTACAGAACTTATGCAAAACTATATCAGAGCTGAATTACAGCAAAATTAAGAACAAGATATTTTGACTCTTCTATTTGATGTAATCCGATCGTGCAGGTCTTAGTATGGAATCTTGGATTTGAATAATTCACTTCAAAGCAAGTAGTGTAAGAATATGAATGTAATGTTTTTATGTAACTTTGAAGCTTCAGGGCTTTAAAAAACATTTAAATATCGGGGCCAACATTCATATTAATTTTAAGAAGATGGGTTGCAATTCCCGACCACCGTTATTAGACCGGATTTATTTATTTTGATTTTCCACACATCAATATTTAATTCTGTAAGCAGCTGCCACACAGTATGTAGATATTTATAATTTGCCTTTATTCTCTTGATAATCTAACAGTGTCTGTTCAGATCAGCACTTGTTGTCGCTGTGAAGCCGTGTAGACTCCCCCAGCCTCACTGCAGAGGCCTGACATCACTTCCTCTAAATAAATCATGACATCATCGCTGAGCTGACACAGCCCCGCCTGGTTCTGTGCTGTGCGGGCCTCAGCCCCCCCCCCTCCCCCTCCCCAGCGCGGTCATGTGACATCTGTGTTCGGGGATCCTGTTGCATTTGCATACATAGCAAGGGAAGGGAAGACCCGCCTCCTCCTCCTCTTCCTCCTCTTCCTCCTCCTCTTCCTCCTGTGCTGTGCAGGAAGACCCTGCCTCTCTCCCCTCTCCTCTCTCCCTCTGCTATGTCGATGCTGATGGAGGCATGACTTTATCCCCTCCCTCAGTCTCTCTCCTACATCCCGCCCGCCCGCCCTCTCCTCCTCCTCACTCACCAGAGACAGTGCACAGTATATCCTGCCTGCTGCTACCATGGAAACAGGTGTGGTTGTTTATGACAGTGAAAGGCCAGTACGCAGGGAGACAGAACGAGAGACACACACACACAGACAGGGAAAGAGAGATAAAGAGCAAGGTTTACTGAGCAGGTCGATGTACCAGTGATTTCATGTGGACGGAATAAAAACCTCCCTCTTTTTGAAGGTACGCCGTCTTGTGTCTATCGCAGCAATGTTAGTTCACTGATGTTCGTCTCGTAATGCCGAGACAGAACAGAGATGCAGCGGCAGGGCGAAGAGCATGCATGTACACCCCTCATGCATTTATGATACAACCCTCAGATGCTCCTCAGGTTTCCATCGTTCCTCATTATGACACATTACCCAGGCTCCTCTGCAGTGGGGATGATGACTGACCCAGCTAATGGCCAGAAGTTCACAAGTTCAGAGCCACTGTGTGGAGAGAAGGAGGGACACAAAAAGAGAGAGAGAGAGAGAGAGAGAAAGAGAGAGGGAGACAGGAAGGAGAAAGGTTGCTCTGTGCTCTACTGGAGAGGGAGATGGACCATGGCTAATCTTAAAGACATTGTATTATTTATTTAAAAAGCCATGAAGCTAAAGCTGCACTCGTAGACTGGTTTCTGCATTGATCTGCAAGCAACTACAGCGAAAGCAACTACAGCTTGTTACTTTTCTTCCTTTGCCTCCCCACCTTTCTCTCTGGTCCCGGATAATCTCTCCGTGCTGGATGTGTGCTCAGTATTTCCCAATGGTGATTAATCCTCTGAGCTGCTGCGAGGAGCTGGGTAGAAAGATTCTGATTTCACCGACAGATGCTGCAGTTTGCTCTCAGCTACACCAGCGTCTCTTTATCTCTCTCTGCACTCTCTCTATCCTCTCATCTCTTTTTGTGGCTCTCTGTTTGTCCGCTCGTCTCTAGTTCAGGTTCATTTGCAGCATGCAAGTTGTGCACATGCCAGTCAGCGTTTTGAGGTGTGTCTCCTCTGCGTGTTTGTGTGCAGGACACCAAAATTGCCTCTCTGGAGCGCAACATCCGAGATCTAGAGGATGAGATCCAGATGCTGAAGGCGAACGGCTTACTGAACACGGAGGACAGAGAGGAGGAGATCAAGCAGATGGAGGTCTACAAGAACCACTCAAAGTTCATGAAGACCAAGGTAAACATGTTTGCGTTATGCTCTCCTGGAAGTGCAGGTCCGCTGAAAAAACATGCTGGAGTTACAGAAACCGGTGTGCAGGGAGGAGGATACTAAGTGAAGCTGATGTGTCACTTAAATTAGCTGCTTTTGCATTTAGTGTCATCAGCAAAGTGTCTTGCTGGCAACAATCTGAGATGCGTCTATGCTGTTTTTTTTCGAAAAGCTCAGTGTGGAGAATACTAAACCAGGAAAAATCAGTAAGTGCATGCTGGGCCATAATAAAATACATTTCCTTAATTACGTACATAAGCTGATTTACTTCTTTATTATTCTGCTGCCAACAGACAGCGGTGATGTGCAATTCGTTCAAAAACTAAAGTGTAAGTCAGTGACAGTCAGAGTTTATGTTAAAGCCAGTTTAGTTTTCATTATTTCAGCCCAATCTCCATGGCGACATGATAATCTAGTGGCTGCGTGTCATCACCAAGCCCTCAGGATACATAACCACCTGAAAACTGTGATTGTGTCAAGGTTTATTGTGAGCGTCTGTTGCTCTCTGGGGCTCGTGTTTACATACTGCTCCTCATATTAGCCGACCAGGCACACTTTTGTTTTTTCTATTTTTAGACCCCTTTTCATCAATCATGAATAGAGATGATGTATAATATATGATGAATGCAGGGGAGTCAGTCCCAAATGCATTTTTGATGAGTGAAAAGCGTGTTGATGAAAATAGTGTAAAAGCTGTGCTGCCTGAAAGGAGGTTTTTCTCTCTCCGTCACACACGATGCTGGAACAATTCAATGCTAATGTATTGGGTCTGGTTGGCATGTCGCTTGCAGATTGACCAGCTGAAGCAGGAGCTGTCGAAGAAGGAGTCGGAGCTGTTGGCTCTGCAGACAAAACTAGAGACCCTCAACAACCAGAACTCTGACTGCAAACAGCATATCGAGGTGCTCAAAGAGTCTCTCACTGCCAAGGAGCAACGTGCTGCCATCCTGCAAACAGAGGTAATGGAAAAACTTAATGAGTTGGTACACAGCCTAACAGTACACGACCTCACAAACAGTTTCATCTTCCCAAACCAGACAGAGCAAATAAGAGGCCTGCTGCAGACCAGAGACTTATTAGTGCAAATCATTTGTGCTCTTATTCACTGTGGAGACTTCAAACTAACTGAACTGTGACACAGGCACCAACAAATAAACAGTGGATTCTGAGTCTGATAAACACACACTAACAACTGAGACACATGAACAAATAAGTGTAGCAGCAAAACTGAAGATCACAACACTGATTAATACTCAGTGCCTGGATTCTTACTGCAGCTGTACGGACATTAAGTTAAGATTAATAAATACCTGAAAACACAAGCAGCTTTTTTTTAGCTATAAGTGTATTAGGGCTATATTGAAGAAAACAAATTCTGAGATTTTGAAGATAAAGTCATAATATTACAAGATCTATTTTTGTTTAAAAAAAAACTCGTAAAATTCCAACTTTACTTTCTCAAAATATTACGTGTAATTATTACCTTTTCGTCATGATATTTTGACTTTATTCTGATAATATTCAGAATATATTCTTGTCTGTTCTCATAAAATTCCAACTTTTTTCCTCGTAATATTACGACTTTATCCTTATAATATTGTGACTTTATTCCCAGAATCATACATAACAACTTTAGGTTTTCCAAATGTGTCCTGTTTAATAATTCTTGTCAAGCAGTTTTCTCTATTAGAGTCAAATTTTAGGTTGGCTCCTGTATGGACTTGTTTGGAGTGTTTGTGACTGTGTCGTGCTCCAGGTGGATGCTCTTCGTCTGCGTCTGGAGGAGAAAGAGTCTTTCCTGAATAAGAAGACCAAGCAGCTGCAGGACCTGACGGAGGAGAAGGGCACTCTCGCTGGAGAAATCAGGGACATGAAGGACATGCTGGAGGTCAAAGAGCGGAAGATCAATGTCCTGCAGAAGAAGGTGAAGAAAACCTCACAGTTATTTCTGCGTTATTCAATTGCAGGTTTAGTCGTACGTTTAGAATAAGTGGTGAGGGGAGTGAGACATTCTTGTGTCCTGGACTAAACCAGTCACTGAAACACACAGCAGCATGGTTACTCTCCATTAAGAGTGAGAGCGTCTCTGTCGCTCTCTGGGGGAAAGTGTCCATTGAAAGACAAGCAAGAAGATATTTCTGCCTCACTGACTCTAGTGTGTGTGTGTGTGTGTGTGTGTGCTATAAATAGTCACAGAGTGTTACTCTCTCTCTCTCTCTCTCACCCTGCCATGCTCACCCATTTTTCCTCCTCTCTTGTTCTATCACACCTCCTCTCCCTTTTTTTTCCACTTTTATCTCTCTCTTTGTCACCTCTCTTTATTTCCCAATCTTTGTCTTTCATCTGATGTTTTTATTTGGTTTACTTTTACATTCGTATGATATTAATATGAATTAGATCCATACAGTACATTTTTACAGTAGTGGTAAAGTGCCCTTGTTATGATTTTTGTATGATTCCATTTCTTTTAGTTTGTCAGCTTCTACTACATTTTAAATGTCTGCTAAGTTACAAAGGTCAAGGTCTGTGGTAAAGAGAGAGCTTCAGTGATCCGTGTTTTCCCACAGAAATCACTGGTCCTGAAAAAAATGCCTTGTTTGACTTCCCTGAGTTTTTATCTGTAAAGCGTTTACATCACCAAACTAGAACACGCACTGAGCAGAGTGCCCCCAGCAGTTCCCTTATCAAAAAACATTTGGATCTGAACATTCATAAATAACAGTTCCCTAAACATGTCAGATTTCTTCATCAATATCTACAAAGTATTTTCTGAGTAACAAAAAATGTTGAAAGTTTTACTTCAGAGAGATTACCCAGATTACCCAGATTACACAATCGTCACGGCACAAGTAAAATATAACAAAAGAAATACTTACGTCTGTATAACATCCTGCTCCAGTCTTGTTTTCAGAGGTACTGGCTTATCCTATCACTCAGTTTCTGCCTCTGACTCAAAGTGAGGTGGCAGAACTGACACAATTGTTACCGTGGCTACAGCTGTGTTTACAGCTGTTGGGGGAGCCTCAGGGTTAGGGGCTGTGGCATTTCCAAAACACGCCATGAGTCATAAAAGAGGGGACAAGCTGATCAGTCTGAGTAAACTGAGACCAAGAACTAAAACATATTTTGACAGACAGTGAAATGAGACAGCAATTTACGAAATGAGATCAATAATGTCTACTTTGAATGTTACAGCAAATACACCTATTCTAGTTGACTCCCTAGTTCTGAACCTGGTAATGACCAAAATGATTTGCTATGTAATTCTCCTTTTTCATTTTACTGTACCTCTTAAGACTTTTCTTGAAAGTCTGACAGTTTCTGATGTGTTTCTTCCTAAAATAGAAAATGCTTGTGCATAAAGCCCCAGTGCATTTAAAGCTATGAACATGACGTTGTCTGTAGAGGATGTAAATCCTCAAAGACTTTCTGAGATCTCCAGCTTTAAATACTACTCTGGTTTTGACATCATGCTTGTTCCTTCTGTTTTTTTTTACTTTCTCTTCTTCGCTGTGGTGCCTCAGATTGAGAACCTGCAGGAGCAGCTGCGGGACAAAGACAAGCAGCTGAGCAACCTGAAGGACAGGGTCAAGTCTCTGCAGACCGACTCCAGTAACACAGACACTGCCTTGGCCACCCTGGAGGAGGCGCTGTCAGAGAAGGTACAGGACTGCAGCAAACAGAAGACGCAAAAATGTCTCAGTCATGTTTGAGATTGGACCCGTTTCTGTGAAAAGAAAAAAAGTTTGCTCGTCGGGGGTCACTTCATTGCAGGTTTCTGTTCCTCTGAGATAAATGGGTTTGAGGCCAGGGCCTGTTTTTATTTAACTGCTAAAAGTTAAATTTGGAAACATTTGAATTGTTTGATGATAGTTTCAGAGCTCATGTGCACTTTTGTTTACGTCCACCCAAGAGAAGCTTAATCCCAGCCTGCGTTGGTTTGTGAGAGTAAGAAAATCACGGTCATCTATCACGGTGAACAAATATGTTTGCTAAAGCAGAATTTTAAATTCAGAATTGTGTGTGTGTGTGTGTTTGTTAGGAGAGGATTATAGAGCGTTTAAAGGACCAAAGAGAGAGAGAGGACAGAGAACGTCTGGAGGAGGTGGAGTCGTACAAGAAGGAGAACAAGGACCTAAAGGAGAAGGTCAACAGCCTGCAGATAGAGTTAACAGACAAAGAGGTCAGTGCATTAAGAGATTGATTATGTTGGGACACATATTATAAACAGCTGATATGTTTCTCTACCTGGCTTTTCTATTAAAGCTGCTCTGCACTTCCTGTTTCTTTCTCTAAATAAACCTTTTCATGACATTTAAGCTGCTGCCTCTGGCCCTGTGGTCTGTAGTTACTTCTGACCTGCCTGGTTTGAACCTGTCTGTGCTGTCTGTCCCTCTGCAGTCCAATCTCATCGATCTAAAGGAACACGCCTCATCCCTTGCGTCTTCTGGCCTTAAGAAGGATTCAAAGCTCAAGTCACTGGAGATCGCCATCGAGCAGAAAAAAGAGGAGTGTAGTAAGTTGGAGACGCAGTTGCAGAAGGTACGTTCATGTTTTACAGTTCAGATCCACCCCATCATCATATAAGCAGCTTTAAGCTAAATGTTATAAGGCTGTTTGGATTCACAACATATTTACAAAGCTGTCTGTTGTCCAGTACATAATTGTATAGTTAATAAGCAGTTTGAATAAAAACAACTCATAGATTTACATGTAACAATCAGCAAAAGTAATGATTTTGATTTTGATTGATTCGTGTACTCACCACTTATGTCACACTAAAATTCCAACTTCAAATCAAAGTGAAAAAACACAAAACAAGTTCATCCAGAACTAATATGTTGTCACAACAGTTCATCACAAGAACAGTCTAACCATAAGGTCTTGCTGTTACTGGTGCATTTGTTTTTTCACAAAATGTCATATGTGATACAATATATAAGCAAGTGCATGAATGTGATGACAACTGCTTCTCCCTCTACTGAGGAAGGTCCTCTGATGTGACTGAAAGCTCCAGAGCAGCCACTGTATGAACCTCGTAGTCCTCCTCATTTGTCTGTGTTTAATGCTTCAGCTGTGGCTGAGCTGCAGGGAGCCGCTCTGTCCTGAGTGACTGTGGACTATGTGCCTCATTAATCACACTGAACTGTAGATACAAATCCAGAGCAGTGTCTCCGCTGTGAAGAAGAGAATTATCTCACTGTGAGTCCAGGGACCATTTAACTTGAGACTATTAAGCAGTTGTAGACTTGACTTTTTCCCAACTCAAAATGTCTAAAGCTGTGAGTTATTTTCATAAAGGAAAACACTGAAGAATTCAAACTAAAAACTATTAATAATTCTTCATCAGAAAAACCTCTGTGTGATATCCAGCAGACAGGCCTTGTTCAGACCTGGTTTTCACATCCGTCCTGAGTGATTGGTAAATTGGTAAAATCTCTCTTCATAGCTGTGCACATTCATTCATTCAGTCAGTCCCTCCTAAAAGTGAGTCCAATCTCAAAGTTGTCTCCAAATGAATGCTGTCCACTTGTGATCAGATCTCTCAGGACTGATGTTAATACCAGGTCTGAGCAGGGCCACATAGATACATATTTAAGAGATCCAAACTGGACTGAACGAGGAACCTGCTTTATATTAAAATCAGTGTATTAGAATAATGACTCCATCATGCTTTCTCTGCTATAACAGACTGCACTGCTTTGTGAGGTGCCTTCAAGAAAATAGTCCACCTGCTCCGTAATCCACAGACTGTCTGTCCCTGTGTCTGTTCCTCTATGTTGGTCAATGTTTGTGTTGCCCTTAACAACACGTGCCATTACCGATGTTACTGTTGTGTCCAACATGTGCTGTAACATGTGTGATCCTGCTGTTCTCTCCTCTCGCTCAAGATCAATTCTAACAACTAACTTACTCTCCTGGGTCCCCTCCTCCTCCTCCCCCCCCCCCTGTCGACAATGTAGCAAGCTGAGCAGCTATTCAGTCACATGAACAATCCTGTAAGTCCTTCTCCTGAGCTCTGTGAGGCACACAGTGAAAGCATGAGGACACGTGGAAACTTCTTTGAAACGTGCTAGATGGTTTTATCGTGCCAGACCCGAGCACAGGTCCTGCTTTCACCCACCGCCCCGCTCAGATGCATGTTGACCATTGCACTGTGCTCGTACGATGGGCTTTATACTGCACTCCGAGTCCTGTGTCACGTGCTCATTCTGCAACTGTTGTGTGTGTGACACGTGGTGAAACTGGTGCTACATGTACAGTTTGTAAACTCACTCTATTTGATTAGCCGAAAGTTCAAATGTTATTAATATAGTTGTTTTTCAAGGTTTTTTCTGTAGCTGGGTTATCTGTGATCAGTTTAAACACAGTGGGACTTTCTTTTTCTTGCATACTAAGAGCAAAAGGTTTCTTCACACAACACAGCACTTTGAATTAGTTTAAACTTTAAAACTGAACTTTGGATTCACATCAGGGACATCGTGTGACATTAGGAAATCCTAGAGCATATTCTGATACAGAGCACAGCACATCTAGGTTTTTCAGTGCAGGTTCACATGGGAAATGCAGCAACTCCAGTTACCAAGGCCCAAATACATTTCAAGCATCAGCCTCTTCACAAAGGCCACTCACACAGTGAACGTAATAGAAGTTAAAGGACGTGGCCTGGAGTAAACACAATTAACCTCATGGTTGTTAAACTGTGGAAACAACTTTTTGGACTAAAATATTTTTGAGGATGACAGAAAAATTTATTTAAATTTTAGATAACTGATCAAGTTCTGTGTAAAATTTCAACCAGAATTTATTTGTTTGACACTTTTCATGCAAACAATATAACACAAACTGCTTTTCAGGATAAATGCAGTCAATACTAGAACAGCACTCAGTAGAGCACATTACTCAATCAAGCTGCACCAAATTGGACACATTCATAGACATCAGTTCCCCAAAAAAATGCACTGTCTTAAAAGGTTAAGACAGTGACGACATAATCCTGGACCCCCACCCCCTGATCTGGATTCACACCAAATTTCAATGTGTTCTTCCGTGACCCAAACCACTTCCTTCCATCATGTATTATAATAATCCATCTTTACAATATAATTAAACAATAAAAACAAAGACGCCTAACTTCTACATCCAATAACTGCCTGATGCAAATATTTTAATACACTTCTTAAATCATTTGTGGCCCTAAAACCAATCAGAGAAATCCACAAGCTAAATCCTAACATCCTCCTCATGCTGAGAATATGACACATCCAGAGATCGACTTAGTCTCTGCTGCTCCTGTACCTCCTCTCTTATGACTGACAAAACACTGTGCAGCACTGTTGGGTTTGCATGACTTGGTCGACCGTGTTGCATGTTGTCACTGTCAGTGTTGCCACGCTTCTCTCTCGTCTCAGTGTGGTGCGGTTATAGCCGAGGCTCTGTATCAGCCGTGGTTGGAGGTCACTGCAGTGTTCTGGTGGATGGCTCTGTAACTGTTCCTGCACTCCTGCGACCTGTGTTGACGTGTGGCTGTGTATTATTGTCTCCAGGGTGATGTGTGCCACTGTGATGTAAATCATGGAGAGTTACAAACTGTTGCAAGGACAGCGGCGAGATTAGTCCTCATTTACCAGACAGCAGTGCTCTGATTAGTGTGTGACAGACAACTAATGAGACTGAATCGTGATTTAGCATTTTACTGCCACTGATTTGATAATTTTTGCTTATCATAAATTGCAGCCCTGCACACACATACACCGTCCTGTACTTTGCACACTCACCATGTGTGCAAAGTGACTGGGAATCTCAAACGGCTGTTAAATGAAGGTAAATCTGTAAAAGCTAATGAAGCAGCACCAGTAATGATGCCTTTATCTACATGATTTAGAAAGAGAGGGAGAGAGCACGGGGAGTAGTTTCTATGAGACACTGATGGACTACAGTCTGCTTTGTATATCTCTGTCATGGTCAGTTAAACATTGGATGGTTGTCTTGACACTATGACGTTCTCTGAGTGAGTCTTTGCATGTGTCTCTGTGTGTCCTCTCCACCTGCTGTGTGGATGCAGAAATCTCACGAGGTGGAGCAGCAGTCGGGCTCCAGAGGAAACCCAGAGTACGTGGATCGAGTGAAGCTGCTGGAGAAGGAGGTGAACTACTTTAAGGATGAAGCCGGCAAGTCTCAGACGGAGGTGGAGAGACTCCTGGACATCCTGCGAGAGGTGGAGACTGAAAAGAACGATAAGGACAAGAAGATTGCTGAGTTGGAAAGGTAACTAGCTTTGAGGCCTTTGTCTCATTTATTGTCTTATTGTAAAAGTGAAGTAGAAATAGATATTAAACTTATGCTATTCATTTCAAATTATAGTCGCGTATTTTTCAACCTGGACCCCAAGATTATGAATGTGGGTGTGTAAATGAATGGTAATGGTACACTGCGGCAGTGTCAACAGTGTATTCTTATTATTCTTATGTGAGCCTTCTCATCAACAAGTGTGATTTCCAGACTCTTTGCTATCATGCAGAATAAAAATATGAGTATTTTATTGTTGAAAAAAATTACTTTTAGTGGACATTTACATTACATAGTACCCATCACGTCACGACTTCCAGAGGAGTGAATCCATTGGTTCCGAATTTAAAGGTTTTTCTAAGTAGCATCTTGCAAGAGTTGGTTCATCAAAATAACAAAAATCCATATTTCTCACAAAAATATGCTGTTGTCATAGAGATAGTTTGGGATTTTAGATATTAGTCTCCGAGATTTGTTTTTCAGTTATGTGTCCACAAACCAGATTTAAAAGGACAAATGATTCTGGTGAACCAACCCTTTACTGTTTTTATTCTCAACAACATACATCAGTTTGTGTTGTGAGGTTCTGAGCAGTATATCAGCTTTGCTTTGTCAAGTGTCATGCACTGTGTGTTCTTGTGTCCGTGGAGCTGTCTGTGTTTGTATGTACATGTGTGACGTCATCAGGGTCTGTCGCCACACACACTGGATCCAGTCGTAGTCTTGTGTGATAGAAGGTTCTGACTCGTACATGTGAGCACAAAGTGTCCTTGAGTCGCTTCTTTAATGGAAGAGCTCTCAGTTAATGGACCACATAAATGAAGCTGGTGGCCTCATCAGCACTTGGCTCACCTCTCAGTGTGGTACATGGTCCAGAGTCTCCACACTGGAAGCTGCTACAGGCTTGTGTCTTTCTGGAGGAGGCCACCATGTTGTCTTTCACCTGGGACGGATTTCTAACTGATGGAACATTGGTTGGACTGAATGAGAACCATATACAACCACAGCCCCACTTCCTGCCCACTTAGTCCCACCACTTACTGCATTGTTGAGACCAGTTATAGTTTTCCTCAGGGTCACTGTGTTTCAGTGTCTGTGCTACTTTGTCAGAGGTGATTGATTAATTGTTCTTTCTTGCCCACTTTTTTCTGCCCTGTTTCCCTTTTCAATTTTCCGTTTCATGCCCACCTCTCCCTTTTTAACCCTCTGCCACTGATCACTTTCAACCTTGGCCTCCTTCCTCCCGTCAAATCCGATCCTGCTTTTTTTCAATCTCTTCTCCATCTTCCTCGCAACTCTGTTTTACCCCCCCCAACCCGACACCAGCCCCCCTCCCTCTGCCCCTCGCCTCACCCCTCGTCCCGGTGGCAGAGCTCCCCCTGACCCGCTCCCTTCTGTGTCTGCTGCCCCCCAGCAGATAGGGGGCATGGTGTGGGATTTCCTGGGAAAGTGAGTGCTCTGCCCTGGCACTTCAGCTCGGCTGCGTGGTTAAAGTCTCCAACTGCTACTACTGCACCTGCATCTGGTTTTCACCTGTGTGTGCCTGGGTGTGCCTGCTGTCTGTAGGAATCACAGATCTTTGAGTTTCTGTTGTTAGTCTGTGGCGTCATTACTCTACAACTGTGCACAGGATACAAAGAACCTTGGATTCGTGTTTGCTCTTGTTTCTTTTTGCATGTTTCCACAGTGGTTAACTCTATGCATATGTGCCATGAATGGTTTTTGATTGTGTGTGTGTGTGTGTGTGTGTGTGTGTGTGTATGCGTGCATGTGTGTGAGAGAGAGTTAAATTTGTGTTGCATGTTTGTTTCAAATTGCACATGGACCATTAACAGCTATTGACAGAATGAGGAATAAAGTCAAAGTTTAGTTGTTAAAGTGCCATACACGTTGTGATTAATTGTACAGGTGTGACTCACACAGTTCGTGTCTCAACATTATGACTCATGAATGTTTTAGAAACCTTAACGGTTTGTACTTTAGCAAATGTGTAAGTAAATATCTACATCATTAAGTTTGAATTACATTTATTCAGTGATTTGATGATTCCCAGATTAGGAAGGATCACGTTATGCTGTTACGATTAAGTCAAAGTAAAACTTATCACAAGGATTCAACCTTGAATCTTGAAACCATATTTCAGAATTTACACAAGAAAAAAAAATCACAATTGTACCTTTTAGATGTTTCACTTGTATATAAATATTTAAAACTAAGTAAAAACTTGAGCAAAACTGACAAGTTAAAACTTAGTATATTTCACAGAGTGCTCCTTCTTCTTTCTGAAATGTACAAGCTTTACTTCATCGTCACCTTTGTTGAAATATCTCACACACACATACACCCTTTTGTGTATTTTTGTGGTGTTTGGCGTGGTTGTTTGTTGTAGCTTGAAGCTCTATATGTAGAGCTGAGGCCTCCTCCTGCTATGAGCACGCTTTCCCTGCTCATTCCAACCACCCATCTGTGCCCCCTCCTCATCTCTAACTCATCCTGGCACCTTCACATCATCCCTGTTACGTCTCCTAAAAGCCCCCCTCTCTTCTCAAGTGGTCTTTCCCGGTGCTCCCCTGCCCAATCGCCCCCCACCCCCGCCCTGCCTAGCTTGCTCTACCACACACTGAAGGGAATTGATCCGCCTGCATGAATAGAGCAGCTGTGCTCCAGGTGGACACGTGCTCATTGAGCGAGGTGCTGTCGTAGGTAGGGTCTGGACTGAACCTTTGTCCCTGAAGTGTTTGGGTTCATTCGGGTCTTCTCTTGTCTTATCTACCCCTGCATCCATAACTGATTCTCCCACTTGCTCACTCCCCCTCTCCGACTTGATTAAACTTCCTGTTGCTCGGCACTGAACCCCGTCCTCCTCTCCTCTTCGTTTTTGCCCGGCTGTTTCTTGCCTGTCTGACTGCATGTCTGCCACTCTCAGGCTTGGCAGCAGATGCACATGGTTCCATGTTTTCAGAGATGGTGCATCCTGCATTAGCTGTGTCAGGCTGCAGACCAGCGGCCGTCTCAAACTCACACACACACACACACACACACACCTTTGTAATCAGTGATTTCCTCTGGGTCCTCTGTATTGATTTCTTGTGGTTGTCTCTTTATGTTCCAGTTCTAATGTCTCTTTTTTTATTTTTTTTCTTGTGTGTGTGTGTCTCCGGCTTTCAATGTCCCCTCCACTTGTCCCGTCGTTACTTTCTCTTCAACCTTATCCTCCCCCCGTCTGCAGTCTAGCTCCCAGGTAAGCAATGCCCCTGCCCCAACCGTGCCCCCATCCCCACCTGCCCCACCGCACTAACTCTGGTGCTTAAACCTGTGAGTCATCTCAGCAATGCCATGCTAACATGAAGCTATCAGTTCATCCGTGATGCTCATGTCTTGTTGCTGTTCCTGGTGATCTCATGACTGGTGCCATTTTGAAAGACGTCTCATTCAAAATGCATCTGACATGTTTTTTTGTTGTGATACACGGTTGAATACTATACCTACAGATTCAGAAAGATGATTGGAATGAAAATTGTTCTTGAATTGTTGTGGTTTTACAGACAAGGAGGCAAAGACCAGACTAAGAAGGGTCCAAACATAAAGCTGGGACCACAAGGAGACAAGAAAGGCTTAGGACAGGACCCTCGTAAGGACGGCTCCATGGACAGTGGCCACCACCTAAAGGTGCAGATTTTATTCAGGAGAAATGTTCACTTCTCATTACAGGGGTGTTTCACTGATGTCTGTGCCTGGAATGTCTTGATATCCTTTGTCTGTTTCTACATAATGTTGTTTCTCAGCTGGAGGAGTTGATGAACACGCTAGAAAGGACGAGGCAGGAGCTGGACGCCACCAAGCAGCGTCTGTCCTCCACACAGCAGTCGCTGCAGGAGAGGGACACCCACCTCACCAACATGAGACAAGAGCGCAGGAAACAGCTGGAGGAGATCCTGGAGATGAAGTAAGTGTCATCACCACAGATGATAAAGACAGCCCACAATTTCACTTCTCTTAAGCTTTTTTCACTCTCGAACATGTCTGGAAAGTTTGTCTTTTACATATGAAGAACACAGGAGTAGATTATTCGGGTCAGACGCATTCACAACAACAGGAATATGTTCAGAACATTCAGACGAGGGGATGCGCTGGGTATACAGCATTTAAGGGGCAGGACAACCCTGTGTTGTTGTTGACAGCACATCGACTGTATCACCACCATCTTCATCTTCTACGTGTATGGCAAAAAAAAAAGATTCTTTCTTTTTCAGTTTTGCCACCGCTTCGTGTTAGAAACGTTACGACTTACAAATAAAGTGTTTAAAAAAAAAAGAAAAAAAGAAACGTCATCGACACACCCACTCACTGGTTGTAAATCTTCCGGACCTTTTCCTGCTGTGTTCTCACACAGGCTCAACTGGTCATTTTCCGGTCTCTTCGTTAGGCTGCTGGCAGGAAAAATTCCATAAAATGCCCAAAGCAACTGACTCAGGCGTTCTCACATTCAGCCCCTCCAGAAAATTTTAGGAAACGTCTTGACCTCAGTGGCTGTCTGAATGCAGCTTATACGTCAAATAAGTTGAAAATAAGTTTTTTGTCCTGAAACATTTTTCAATGTCTTCGATAAACATCCAGTAACATACACAGTTTAAGTTTCAGACTTACTTCTACAGTTGTTTGTTTCTGGTTGTTTGGTCCATATCTGTCCATGTTTTTTGATTCTCAGAGGATATTTGTACATGTTCATGTCTTTCTCTATTTGATTATTAAAAAATGTCTTCCTCCTCAGACAACAGGCTCTTCTGGCAGCCATCAGTGAGAAAGATGCTAATATCGCACTGCTAGAACTTTCCGCCTCGAATAAGAAGAAGACCCAGGACGAGGTGCTGAGTCTCAAGAGGGAGCGGGACAAACTGATGCACCAGCTCAAACAGCACGTTAGTACTGCAGCACAATGTCAAGGAAGTCTCCCTCCGCACTGGAGCTGGTTGCCAAGGCAACATTTAATCAGTATGAAAAATGTTGCTGCACAAGGCAACTAGCCATTTTTTCCATTTCATCTACAGGAGAGTGTTCAAACACATGACCTCTTTTGGCATCTGACCCAATGCAGCATTTAATAACTTTGCAGCATGTCTCTGAGCTCTTATGTTAAATTTTTTTGGGGGGTAACTTTATTTAACATGACCTTTGAATATAATGACAATGACATAATGCAGGCATAATGCATTGCTTAAAAGAAACAGTGGCAGTAAACCAATACTGAATGAGTAAATATTGGCCGAATTTGCCAAGCTTTACATCAGGCTAGTTGCTTCCCCCTGTTTCTAGTCTTTATGCTAAGCTAAACTAATGGGCTGTTGGCTTCAAATTCATCTTCGCAAGCAAAGTCCACGCCCCAACAATATGTGATTTAAAGTTTTGAATGGGCGTTGGATGCAGTGGAGAAATGAATGAGCACTGAGTGTAGGGGTTGGGGTGCAGAGATGCATCCCGCAGTGTGGGACCGGGCAGCACTGCCAGTATACCTATAGAACGAGACATGCAGGAGGTATACACCAAGCTAAATGAGAAAGGATGGGAGGATGAAGGGATGATGCTTCTGTCTTTTGTTTTTCTTCTCTCTACTTTTATTTTCTTCTTTACTCTTTCTCTAGGCAGGGGAAAGGGTGGGTTGAAGAATCTGAGACAAATAGAGCGTCATGGGTTGACTGGGTATATGTAGGCTGGACAGGTGATTAGAGGTGTGGTTGTGGTTAAGGTGTGGCCCTGCTCCCAGACCTAAGTTCAAAGTTTCAGTAAACTTAATTTCAATGTTCAGACATGAGAGTAGTATAAACCTTCTCATCTAACTGGGCAAGAAAGCATATGTGTGTATAATTGCTCTGATTTTTTTTGTGTTTTTACTCTGTCATATTTTATTGTCCATTATGAAGGATGCAGATCTTCGTGCATTAACGAGTTTACTCTTCCTACAGACACAGAGCAGAATGAAACTGATAGCTGACAACTATGAAGATGAGCAATATCACCCACATGGTCCTCACCACCCCCAGCCTCAGCCCCCGCACGCTCAGCCGCAGACGCAGCCCCAGTACCCCCATCCTCCCCATGCCCAGCAGACTCAATACTCACACGCCACTCATCCACAGCATCCTCAGCATCCTCAGCATCCGCAGACCCCCCAACAGCACCCTCATGCCCAGCAGCCACAAGCACAGTACCCTCACCCTCCTCATCAGCAACACCCCCAGCAACATCCCCAGCAGCACCCACAGCATCCCCAACCGCCTCCCCAACACCAACAGCACCAACAGCACCCACGCCCCCCTCAGCCCCAGCACCCTCACCAACAGCACCCTCAGCACCCAGCACAGCACCCACACGGACATCCCCCTATGCAGCACCCTCACCCGCAGCACCCGCACGGTCCTCCCCAACAAGGGCCGCACCCCCAGCATCCGCACCCGCAGCACGCCCAGCACCCGCAGCATCCTCAGCACCCGCAGCACCCGCAGCACCCGCAGCATCCTCAGCACCCGCAGCACCCGCAGCACCCACACCACGCCCAGCATCCACGTCACCCGTCGCCACATCATCGTGGAGGGCCAGCCCGCGGACCCCCACATGCTGGTCACCGTCCAACTCCAGACCAGGTTAGACACCTGGCCATGTCATCCCTGTTACACTCATTTTTAAAGGTCGTAAATCCTGCCTCCTCCATGTCAATGGTTGGGACATGGATCAAACTAAAATGTCAAGTCCATTCTGTCAAAGGTGGTTTCTGTCTTTTATTGAATGTCCAAATGTGAAAAACTGCTGACACTGACATACAATTGATCCAGCACACATATCTGTGGAACCTCAACATTGGGGCTCAGTCCCCTGATCTACTGCCCAGACTCTGGCGACAAATGACATCATTAGGCGCACGATGGCATAATATTTTGTTTTTATTTCTGGGTAGTGGAGATGTCATCCATCTTTATATACAGTCTATTTCTCAGACCAGATATTTAACAAGATTCCTTATATGTTGATCTTTAATCCTCTAGTTTCTTTGCATTTCAAAACAAATTATAAAAAGCTAGCAGACTACACTGTTAGCTCATACTTTTATATGGTAAAACATTATTCTGTAAATCAAATCAAGGTACCCCTGAGTGCCACAGCACCCATATGGGGTAAAAGTTGTGAGTTTCTCATGTGATGATGCAGATCCATCTAATTCTAAAGCTGCATAAAATCTTAAAAAGCGTCACTGAAACAACTTTGCACTAATTTTGCATAATACTTATTTTTCTATCATACTGCCTGCTGTGATTTCTTTTGATGAGAAGTTAATCCTGTCTCTTCTCTTCTCTTCATGCACATTGCTTCTGTTGGCCTGTGTCACTGCCAACAACAGGATGATGAGGAGGGCATTTGGGCGTAATCCTTGCTGTGAGAACCAAAGCTCTAATGTTGTTTTGAGGGGTGAGATATATTTAAAACTTTTTGTCTGAGTGATTCTCAGTTCCCTTCCCGTTTTGTAAGAAACTAAACAGCTGCATGACATCTGGATGTCTTTGTCTGTCCCTTTTAGATGATTCAGTCACTACCGGAGGAGCACAGCCATGCCATGATGTTGAAACACTACCCGACCAAACATTTATTATCTTCACCAAATCTCAGATATGTTTTTTCATTTTGGGGGGGGAAGAGGAGGATACACTCAGGTGTGCAGGTCACATGAGAGACTGACTGCTCGGCAGGTAAAATCAAACCTTTTTATATTCAGTGTTATTCTAAACGATCATTCCAAAATGACACCTAAACCTGTTTCTCCTTTATTTTGTGCTTAAGGTGACCTGGGATCTCTTTGTGAGAACAGGAACAGATCATCATCCACTTCCTCCGCACACGAACACAGCTGCGGAACTGAGCAGGATGGAAAGAGGCAGATGTTGAAGTGCTCTGTGTGTCAGGTTGTCATTCAGACAGGCATGTGATCAACATGGCAGCTCTGCATCAGAGGTCTCGCTAAGGTCACCTCTCCTGTCTCTTGCCTGTTGAGCGGTCAACCTCTTGATCCTCCCAGCAGAGATCTCAGAACTGTCAGACTGACAGCTCAGAATCGTTTTATGTTTCTTCATCCTTCCTTCAATCACTGGTTCAAGATGATGGTTGTGTCGCTGTGTGTTTCACCTGCCTGACTCACTCTTCTGGCTCTGGTTGGCTCCCCTGGCCTGACTCCGTCATGGTTTCTCGATCCTCACTGCCCTGCTGACCCACTTGGTGACATCTGACATCTGACTCTCTACCTGGCTATCATCATCCGCATCCTGCAGAGTCTCTTCTGTTGTTTTATCATCTGGTTGTGCCACATCTTCTCTTTTACCTTTATACACACCTCACCATACATGTCTTTCCAGATAACCTCATGTTCAGCATGTCTAATAATGACGTAGTGTCCCTTTACTTGCTTTATTCCCCAAACCCGAAGACAGCATGTTTTATTTCTTGTTGGCTAAAGAAGGACGAGCTTTCAGCTGACTGATGGGCCTTTGGCCTTGCTTGCAGTGTCGAGGGGTTTCCTTGGCTGCATGAGCATGGCCCTCCAGTTCTTGGGCTTGTTTTAGCCTTAAGGATGTGGTTGCCATAGATGTTTATCTCCATGTTACCTCATTTTAATCAGAAGTAGTCAAAAAAAGAAAAGAATCAATCTATGCAGATGTCAACGTAGAGTGAATGCATTTTTATTTCCCCATCCGTGCTCGAGTTTAGAGTAATAAACCACCCGATCTGAATGGCCAAGAGAGAGGTCAGAAAATATTCACCAGAGTGTTTTGAGTTTCTGAGGCAATGCACCTATGCACCTCCTCTGTGTTGCAGGAATTTCTACTAATGGTGCTTCTGCTGGTGCTCGAACTAAATGGTGTCAGAAGACCTCATCAAGAGCATATTTTAGTCCTCTTACAGTCGAGGGATTTGATGCCACAGCGGACTTCATACACAGCTGTAAAAGTCTTTGTATATATACGATTTGACAATGGGGGCTTTGTGAGCAACAATCACTTGGAGACCCACACAGAGGAGATTCCCCTCTATGAATATTACCGTCATAAATACCATTATAGACTACGAAGTGGGGGCTATGTCCAATAGATGTTTTCCCTGCAGGTCTGTTTGTACCATTGACACCCACAGTATGCTCCCGCTCCCCTCACCCCTGTACAACCACCAGTAGTCTGTGAGACCTCCTGAAACATAGTGACTTGTTTACTCCTTCTCAACAAGGTGGCCTGTGCCTCATGAAAACTGTACACTTATATGATAGATATGCATATATTATACATATAGAGAGAAATCTATAGATTGTGTCTATGCGTGGTCAGAAAATCGTTACTGACGAGATACTATGTTTTTTTTCTCTTTCTGGTTATTTTTCTAACTGGCTGGAGGTCGGGGAGATGTCTTATTTTGTGTTGAGTGGTGTGGTTTTGTTTCCCCTCTGATTTTTACATTGTGAGAAAACCCCTAAGCAGCAGCAGCAGCAAGTAACATTCCCTGTCTGAAAATACAGGACAGTCCAAAAGAGAAAAAAAGAGCTTTAAAGCAGTTTATGGGAAAAAGAGAATTATATCCAAATCTATTTAGAAGTTTAGAGAAGATGACATTACTACATTCCTTTCAACATGTGAAAACAACTCAGTTGAAGACCACCTGCCCTGTGGTAACAACTCAGAAGAAGAAAAAAAACACAGAATTTTGCAGCTCACATAAGTAGCATTGAGATTATGTCTGCTGCACTCAGCCGACAGAAACTTGCACTTGTGAGTGAGGACTATCTAAGTGGAGGTTTGAGTGACTCTGTCGGGATGAACATTTCTTTTGCGTGTTTGTCGTCGTCGTCTTGTGAACAGAAGTGGTGACATGTGACCGTGGTTAAAAAGCTGATTAACGTAGAAAAACCAACACACATTGTTACAGTGTAGTGGAAAAATTGAATTAGACTGTTACTACCCCCCCTCCACTCCCTCCCCTTACTCTCATGGTGCCTGTGTGTCTCCCTTAAATGGCCAAGTGTTGATTGTTGTATATAAACGTCTTTCCATGTCCCCCCATCTTCCTCAAACCGAGGGGATACATGCATCATTTCTACGTCTCTTGCTTCCACCGCGAACCTTCACGGCTCCTGTCACTGACCAAGAATCAACAGATGGTGTGAAACTTTAGTACGAATGTTGAGAGAAGGGTCCTGATTTGGATTTTTTTTTCTTTTTTTCTTTTTCTCAAAAAAGAAGGGACGACAATGCAAACAAGACAGAGGAGCGAAAATCCTCTCACTTCACCATCAGGGGGGCGGAGTACAAATCCTCCATTTTCAGGTCCTTATCTACTGAATACTTGAAGTAGGGGGTTCTCCTACCATGAAATAGCGTATATGATTTACATGGTAGACAACATGAAACATTTCAATTGTGCCCATGCATGCTGATTTTTACATAACGTGCCAACTGAAAGTGACGATGTAAGGATAATCTCCTGTTCTCTATGCAGAGTGATTTCTCAGCTGTTGTGTCAAACAGGTTTTGGGAGAAATGGGGCTTATATGCTGGGGCTGGTTTCCTGGGCTTAGACTGATCCTGGTTTGTGAATGACTGACGTTGCACTCGGTGTGAGGTGGATTCAAAAAGTCAAGTCTGCACCTGTGCCTAGAAGCAGCCATGTTGAGAGCGTGAGCATTGAAAGGCCTGAAGATTCACCAGTAATTTTCAAAAGGCCTTCACAAAAAAAAGTATGAAAAGCCTAACACACATTTTCATTATATCGTTGTATACAGGTTGTTTTTCTTTTGTTCTACATCGCTAAATAACTTTGAATTGAACAAATCACTGTGACCAATGCCAGAAACATTTTTGTTTGACAGAGCAAATATTGTGTTTACTTTTTTATTATTCATTTTTGTATTTCAGTTAGCTTTATTTATTGAATATGCCAGTTTGAGACTGTACTATTTGTATAAGTAAATGTTTGATCTGTACAGAAAAGACCTAGGAACAAAGTTAAATGTGAGTGTCCAGCATGCTGAATGATTACTTGTGTGAACGTGAGCTAATCTCCCATGATGCATCATTCCTCATACATTAATTGCATCTGCATCGTGACGGTGTGATGTTGTGTTTGAGAGTGATGTGTGTGTCTCACTTACTGTGTCCCCTTAGTAGACAGCCTGTGCAGTTTTGTGAGAGTGCAGCATGTTTTTTGGGGTTGCCGGTGTAAATGTATTCAGAAAAGAGATACATGTGTGTGTGTGTGTGTGTGTGCACAACTGCATTTGTTTTCCGGGTGTGTGTCTGCGCGTGTTGTGAATGCACAAGAGAGAAATCTATTTAAAAAAGAACTTTATCAGAGGAAGTCCCCAGAGAAAAAAAGTGAGACTGAGTCAAAGTTTTGAATGAAGCATGGAGACTCTGTATTGTTTTCTGTTTTTTAAACCTAGGAGGCTGTCCTCAGTGCCCCAGTTTGCTATTGTATGTGCTGTATCAGAATATTACTATTGAGTGTTGGCCAGCTTGTTTATATCCATCAAATAAAAGTGACTTTCTTTCTGTCTCCATTTGTGATGTTCTCGTCAAACTTCAAATAGGTGAAATACTGATGAAAAGCTCCAGACATGAGTTGATCTTCATCATACGATAATTTATAAAGTCAAGAATAAATGTGACTTTACAGTAGGGCATCTTAAAAAATATTATCATTCTCTGTCAGTCAACATAAACATTTTAAAAAAGAAGGTTAAAACTGTTGTTTTTTCAGTTTCTCCAGGCGTCTGTATCTAAAGCTGGCAGCTCAGTAACTTATATTGACCAATGTCAGGCAGGTTATTTTTGAGTTTTAATGTCCCTTCAGAAAACTGTGTAACACACGGTCTCCCCTGTCTGATAGCCAGTATCCTGCCATGGCTGCCATTGCCCCTATGAATACAGATGTGTAAACCATGTCTCCTTTAGCAGCCAGTGTGGCCAGAGCACAGAGCACCACCCCGAAGAACATCTGCTGCAGCACCTCCACCTCATCATCCTGGATGTCCTCAAACAGGCCTTTCTGCTGAACACCTGCAGGGGGAGTGAGGTTAGGCTGCAGTGAGGTTGGCTGTTGAACGTGGGTGTAAACGTCTGTGCATGTGATGGGACTCACTAGGCAGCTGCTTCTTCACACAGACACCTCCCTTGCGGTGGAATCCTTTGGCACAGTCACAGCGGAACGAGCCGACGGTGTTGGTACAAATCTCATCCAGGCCGTGGCAGGCGAGCACCCTGTCACTACATTCATCTATGTCTGAGCAAAAGAACAAGAGGCACATCACTTCATCACGTAGTTTACACTGCTGCTCATCAGAAGAGTTCATGCACATGAAATAATACATCAATTTATCAGTCATTTATGATTACCGAAACACTTGGACCCTCTCAGCCTGTAGCCTGAAGCACACTTTCTGCAGCGGGCTGGTCCGCTACCCATACAGCCCACACAGGCTGGGTCACAGTCTGAGGAAAGAGTGTGATGTCATATTTTATCTTACAATGCAAGTGTTGTCAATAGCTGACACAAAAAAACTATTCGATCGGGCCGGAGGACCTATTTCTATTTTATAGCACATTTCAATCAAAAAAGATGCATTTTGAATAGACATGAAAACATAAACAATTTAAATAAAAAAGAAAGATTCATTTAAGAGAAAGTAAATACTTTACAATTAATACTGTGGTTTTTAAGAAAAAATACAGTTTAGTATAAATACCCAGGTAAAGTAAAGTTGAGGTGTACAAGCCAACATGCCAACAACATCGTCCAGTGTAATACACTTATATTAATTACTTCTTTTGTCTGTGGATTTTTGGTCAAAACAAGTAATTTGAAGTCACCCCTTTAGGCTGTGGTATATTATATTAAATCACAAGACCAGTTCTGACCCACTGACCTCTGCACTCGAACGACCCCTCTGTATTGAAGCAGTAGCTGTTGTGAGGACAGTTGTCAAGCTCCGTGCCACACTCATCAATGTCTATATGAAACAGAGCAAAACAAATATTAAATGTCGATTCTCCTTGTCTTACGTCGTCCATGCAGAACATGATGGTTTCCGGACTCGCACTCAGTGCTCTGCAGACAGTACCTACACAGGTGTTATTATGGAGCGTCCATCCTGCTCTGCATCCCTCACACTGATCATTCTCTGGGCCTGAACACTTGCTGCAGGCGCCAGGACAGCTGTGCACCTGAGCTGCCAACACACAACACAGCCAAGCCGCCTGCAGCAGCTTCCCATGAGCCGTCCAAAGTCTCATCTGGTCCAGAAAACAAGTTTGTTTGCAACCTCCATAAATATCACATAGTTTAACAAGTTTGTTAAATAATGCTTGAAAGTTGAGATCGAACAACTGGCATCAAACTCCTGTCGAAGTCAGACAGAGCCGACTGTTGGTGGCAACATGAGAACATCTACTCTCGTGCCGAATTCAGGTACTTGACACTTTACATCTTTGCACATCACTTCATACAATTTCACTAAACTCAATGGTAGGGCTTTACATCTATATTATCATTAAAGGACGTTGGAAGGGCTGCAGCACCCCCTATTGTCAAAAGGTGTAACTAAACAAATCTATTAGAAAAACGTACGGCCTATATATTTTATAATTACCATTTAATAGGTTTATATTAATAGATGGAGGAGGAACCTGCATTCTAAGTTGCTTTCACATGCAGCAATATTGTGTTCAGGTTTGCAGTTTGTTGTGTAAATACTAAAACCAAGAATGTGACCCTGTCCCCCTGCATTTACATACCACCCTCATGTCTGACTGACGTTCAGCATCCGTCTGTATTTACTTCACTACATTCAGGTCCAGCTCCTTCATTATTTCACACATGTTTCCTGTGTACAAACTACAACAGTATTAGTTATAATTACTTGTTCTACTCATCTGAAATGAAATTTGTTTTTCCAGTAGTTTTATCAATAATATTTCTGTACTTTAATTTTGAATTGAACTTGAATTGTAACAGAGATCTTTCACACTGTGGTATTTATTATGGATTTATTTAGCTTCAGCGAGGACTTATTCCACCACTGTGTGGCGCTGCTAGAAACACAGAGATACATTGGAAGGTGATTATCTGCAGGGTCCTGCCTCTCTCTTCCTTACGTTACAAATCAGGGTCATACATGGTGTTACTATGGAGACTCGTTTCATGTAACTTTTATCATGTAAAAATCAAATGTACACATTGAGTCACACTCTGACACATCTACTCACAGTCATTCTAACAATGGAAACAACTGTAACAGCAAACCAGCTCTGAAGTCGACCCGGAAACACGATGTACAAGTGAATTTCAAGTTACTGGTTTTATTTACCTCCTTCAAGAGCGTCGACTTCACTCAGGACTGTTCGGAGTTTCTACACTTTGTGTTTCATTTATAGCCTCAAACATCCCGAGCGAGGGGAGCATACATCAGTTTCTTTGCACCGCCCTGCCAGGATGTGATATAATAAGTAACGAGCGCTTCTCTGACGCTTGGCTGCACGAATCAAATGCGCGTTTAAAGACAGCCAATCAGAGGCCGAGCTCTGCCACACGCTGGAATAAGCAACGTTATTTATAGACAGTTTATTTAAAGACAAGTGTGGACGCTCTTACAGTCTCTATCTGCTCTGTGGGACTGTAGGTTGAGTTAAAGTTCATCCATTTGCAGCTTGAAGGAAGAGTTTGGGGATATTTTATATCCAACACATGATCAAAAACATTTAGTAAAAAAGACCAAAGCAAACAAGGAATTAGTGGCTGTTGTTCATTCCTCCCAGTCCTCATTGTTATCAAGAAACAAGTTCAAAGTCACCAGTGATTCCTAGTTGTTTCACTGGATTTCCCCTATACGCCCCTGTAATCATCACCTGCAGTCCAAAGAAATCCCATTCAAAACCCTGCAGGGTCTGACGGCTCCAGAAAAGTCAACTGCTCCTTCTCGTCTCTACTCCATAAGTTTCTCAATCACTCCATGATTTCATCACCCTCTGGCACTGTACTGGTCCACTCGGAGGGTCTAGCCGCCGAGGAGTCGGGAGCAGCGGACCTAGACACCTACAGATGGTCACCCTCGACAAAACAGGAGCATAGAGGGGGTTTTACACCTCAAGCGAGACTCCAGTGTGGAGCTCCACACTAAATCCCAGTGAGTTTTACCAGGGTACAGTATTAGGCTGCAGTTCTATACATGTGGTTGGTTTAACACCTGTTCTTGCAAGACAGAGGTTTTTGCTACTTAAAACCAGAAATATATATTTAATGGATATCTCAATATTATATTCAACATTATTTCAATCAAAATACAGGAAATGTAAACTTTAACATTTTACATGGACATAAAAAGTCTGGAAGGTATTAAGGGATAGATTCATGCGTTCACTGTGGATTTTGGTCTCAATGGGATCAGTTGATGATATAGAATATTGTCCACCTTTCAGAGTGTCTGATTGTTACATCACTTGTACGCACATGTCCTTCATTTCCATTCATGGAAACTTTAAGGGTGTTGACTCCAAGTTTTATCCACTCCAATATATTTACATAGTGACGTCTTTTGCTGGTCTGATCCCTCTTTAGTCTTTGTTCTCCATCCATCTGATCTGTTCCATTTCCATCCTGTCCGTGTCTTTCCACCTGATCTCCTCCTTGTCCTGCCCAGACGTAGTTCAGTTAAGAGGGCCTGGTTCTGAGCAGGAAGCTGGAACAGAGGCAGCCCCTGAAGCAGCTCTGGTAGGTTCCTGTTGCTGCTTGGACTTGAGTCAAATTTCACCAGAAGAAAACGTTCTCCAGCCCTGCCCTGCTGCTTGTCCGCTTGAATGAGGCACAGAGAGGCTGTGAACACGTCGGAGTAAGGGGACCATATCTGAGGGAGGCCCTCGTCTGCCATCTTTTTGGCAGTGATAACCCTCTTATGGTAATGCGACCATTCCTCCGTTCTCTCTAAGGCTTTCTGGGTCAAAACAACCACAACTCGGTCCCCCTTGGTGTTCTGCTGCAGCAGCTGGGAGTGCAACCATGGCAGAGGTCCCAGAGTGCACTGCTCCTTCCTGCTCCACTGGTCCACGGACACACTGAAGCCTTGGATGCAGAGCAGAGAGCCGAGTCGACAAACTGACTCAGAAACACCATCATCCACATCTGGGGGGCTCAGCAGCAAAACGTGTCCCTCTCTGCCAACTACAAAGGGGGGATGAATTTCAGAGTTTGCTCTATTGTATATTTTATAGGAAAAGTAGAAAAAAAACTTACTCTTCACAAATCCACCATGATGCCAGCTCCACACCCATTCTATAAAAGACAGAGAATCAAAGAAATATAAATTGCGGTCAAATTCACATATAAGTGTATACTTAATATCTTAATATAAAATTGGTGGAAGGGTTGGGTACGGGCCAAAAAAGAACCCATTAACTTTTGGAGCAGACTCAATTAAAGCAGCAATTCCAAGATTTTCTTTTTCACTTTCTTTAACATCATGAAATAAGACGCTTTCAACATTCTATAGAGTTTGTTGAGAAATAATGCAGAGATATTAATGAACATGTGAAGTTTGATCTGGATGTATCTGATCTAAATTCGGGTACTTGCATGATGTTGATATAGTGGCCAATCAGACGTGAAGGAGGTAAGTGCACTACGAATTAGCTTTTAGTTTATTATGAGTTGGTTACAAAAACACTGCTCTCTCTTCATATCATGTTTTGTAGTATTTCCTAAATATTGTTACACATTTACCACTTAATGAAAAAAAAAAAAAGATAGAAAATATAAAACTCACTCTTGACAAAGCCGTGAAGTATATAGAATACAAGCATAGACAAGCAAACCAGCAACATGACAAAGACAACCAGGAGACTCCAGCGCCACCTGTCAGCTGAAATGAGAACAAAACCGAATATTAGTTTTTTCTGTACATTGTGTATTATACATGAGCTAAATACAGTATATTATGCCTCAGTGTCAATTTGTTTCACTGTCACTTACTGTCTTTAAAACAGAAAGGACCCAGCTCATGTCCCATTCCCTTTACTTTCACCTGCACAAATAGATAAACATGGATAAGTTATTCAGATTCAGTTATTATACTGTACGACTCTGTGGCTGACCGCCGAGAATACGTTACCATAACACATGGAAACAGCTGAAGGTCGATGTCTTCAAACGACCCTGTTTTCTCCTGAGGAGGACAAAGTTGTGAATCTCATTAGTTTCCTGTAAATGCTGTGCAGCTACACATTGCCCAGACACAGAAACACATTCCAGGTTCTAATGGAGATCTCACATTTTTTAATTATACCAAATCTCTGAAATGTATGAATATGGAAAGTTGATGTTTAAGAAACATTTTTGAAAGATTTTGACATGATGAATATTACAATTTAATTCAATGGTGCAGCCATAGAAACATGGATATTGCATGCAGCATTATGTAGCTTCAAATAACTACGTTTTTCCTTACCCAGAGTCCTTTGCTGTTTTGTCTCCACGGTTTATTTGCCAGCTGTTGTCTGAGGCCCCTCATCTCCCTGCAGCTGTCCTCCTTACGACAGGGCCACACCTCACCCTCCAGCCTGCAGGGGGCAGACAGGTTCCACAGTAGCAGTGTGCCATGCTGGTTGGTTTGACCCTGGCCCACAGACACTGACACGTTCTGCCACACGTTCCTCTGAGAGAAATCTGGACACATTGGAAACAACAACAACATACCAAAGATGAAAATAACTCACTCGTCGGCCTTGTACACTTAAATTAAAAAGGAGACCTGATGGCTTCTCACCCATGTTTGTGAAGGGGCATCTTTGAGAGCGCATTAAGTTCTGATCATACCATGTCTAAAACAACCAAAACATGTCAGTCACATCAGGACGCAGCACTGTTGATATGTCAGTTGTATGTTATCATGATGTGTTGGTGACTGTACCTGGAGACACATGCAGTGGGTCACAGAATGGAGGGGGATGGTCTTCCTGTTCCAGCTCTACACAGTGAATAGATTCAGAGAAAAGAATGTGTGTAAAAGGTGACTGCAAATATTTTACTTTTGGGAAACAGTTTGATGAGAAGATGCTATCTGTTTGTTAAACATTGGAAAACAGGCGCAAACAGTGTGCCTGGCTCTGTCTGATGTTACAGCTGGACTCTGAACCAAGCAGTAAACACATGGAGTCTCTCCTGGTTGCTTAGCATCCAAAGAATAGTCTGGAAGTTGTAACATTTAACTCACTGCCAACAAACATATGTGAAAAACTGTTGAACTGTTCCACTGCATAACCCAACTGTATATAAATGTGTTAAAGTTAGCTCTACCGCCACCAACTCGTTTACATTATATTGAATATGTATGTTCATACATTTAATTTCAGTTTAACTTGATGATTGAATATTTTTACAGTGTGGTTTTACTTCTTTTACTTGAATAAATAAATCCATCGTCCATCCATCCATTATCCAGATTTAAAAGAATCAAGATGGTGCTGGAGCCAACTTGAATAAATGATCTTAATATTTCTTCCCCCTCTGCACCAAATACAAATGACAAACTCCTTCATTTTTAGACACTAACCTGACAAACTCCATTCTGCTCATGTTGGATGCACACAGACGGACGGCCATTATCTCTGCCACCAAACTGCAGCTCCACGTGATTCTTCTCCTTCAGGATACTGAATTTGGGTACTGAAAAGAGGAAAACTGTTTTGATGCCATGAGACAAATAAAAACACCAAAAATGCGTTATGCAGGGGATTTGGTTTTCTCACCCTGACACTCTTTTACACACTTCTTCAGCTCCATGGAACACACTGAGGACAGATGGTGAGAATATGTCAGACACTGTGTCATGAGTTCAACAGACGTTTTGATGTTAAACCTCTGAAGGACCAAAGTTTACCTTTTTCTAGAGAAGGAGCATCAACCGTTTGAGGCGGTAATCCAGAATCCAGATAAACAAACACTTTGCTGCTGAAGGAAACCCCAGCCGGTTTAGTAATCACCATGGAAACCTACAGATGACACAAACATACACATATAGAGTTTATAAGACATGACAGTGGCTGACAGTAGACTTTATAATCCAGTACACTGTACCTTTGCCCGGTTTTGCTGAGTAACCGCTGTTTGATTGACAGAAAACTCCACCTTCTTGCATATGGGCATGGTAGAAGCTATATGGTAGCACACTGTCAGAGAACCTGTCGCAACAGAGAGGCAGAAGTGGGGCTTAGTTAAAACTCACTGGTAGTGGTTGATTTTCACACTTAAAAGGACACACCAGTGTACAACAATCATTTACACATATATACAGGCTACAGTTAAATTCACATTATCCTTTTCACACCAACTTCTATGTTCCCTCATCCATTCACGATTTCCCAACAGCCCACAACACGCTCTCCAACAGCTCAGATTTTGGATGGTGTTCAAATCTGTTTCCACTTGTGTGTGAAAGTGTCTCCGAGCGTAGCTTCTTATGCATTACTGAAATAAAACAGATCCAACTGTTGCCAGGAAGACAGCAAATCACTTAAGAACTTGTGATTTACTTTGGAAGACAGGTCATACAGGAATGTAAGGCATAAAAACACTAGCACGGCTGTTTAATAGCAAACTAGAAAAGCGTAGACTGACTCAGTAGAGTTAATACTTCGGCCAAGGTCCAACAGATCCCTTAAGAAATCACTTTTAAATTCACTAGACTGATAGCTGGCACCAAGAAGAGAGACAGCACAGTATATATTTAAGTTTAAGGTTCTTTTATTATTTTATGTCTGAGCTTCTCTTCTTCTTCGATGACACATACCACATCTTTCCACAAGTTTAATGCTAAACCTTTCAACAACAAACAACCACGGATGAGAATGTAACCACCTTGATGTATGAAATAATCATCGACAGTGGGCTCCAGTCGCTTCCTAGCCTCCTCACTCTGCCCAGAGTGGCCTTTGTCCTCCGTGCCGTTATCCAGGCGGATGTGCAGCTCTGTGTCTATCACCAAACATAATGAACACAACTCATTTGTGTCTGAGCAGAGCTTGAAGTTCGCTGTAAGGTTTTGAACGTCCACACCATAATTCTTGTCCAGATTTATTATCTCATCCTTCATGGTGCAATCAGAGAGACCCTAAAAGGAGGAAAAGATCATTTTACTTTTCACTGAATCAGTATGGAGAGCATCTATTTGCTGGTCAGGAGAATATATTGAGATTAAGATTGTGTAACATCCCTATAGTGTGATAAGATGGCAGATGGTCATAACTAAAAAAACCTGTATTTAATTAAATGTTTCAGAATAAATCAATAAATCACTACGAAAGGACATTTAAAAGTGAGGGCCTTCTGTCCTGAAAGGAAATTAAAGGAGTGATCTGTCAACAGAAAACTGCGGCACAGGAAATGTCTTGTTTAGCGAGTCCAAGCATTGTGAGTATACCTGAGAGCAAATGATTTCATCACTTTCATATCCAGAAATCTCCAAACTGCAGGCTGAAGGGCTCAGGGTCAGGAGAACCCACCAAATCAACCATCCAGGGAGAAACATTCTGCCTCAGGACACTCAGACAGATTTGAGTTTTACAGCATTTCTTTCCCCAGAAGCAACGTTAACGCCTCGATGAACAAGTCCAGTGTCTTCCTCCGCTTCATGACTTTACACGTCGGAGATTAACTTGGAGATATCCAGGAATAAGCTGCACACTGGCCAGGTGAGCAGAGAGACGAGACAAGCTGTTCAGGACGGTTCCTGGGTTTCACTTTGTTTGTTGCCTGAGGATGAGGAAACACACAGCAATGCAGGTGTAGGTTTCCTGTGACAGTGTTATCTCTGCTGGGAAACTTGATGTGAATGAAATCAAACAAGACAAAAACAATAAGTCAAACTCACAAATCCCTTAATCAACAAAATAAGTAAGTTTGTCAGCAAACATGTAAATAAGTATAAACAATATAATATTAGAAATCATATTATAGGAATCATGGTTACTTACTGCCTAAAGACACACTTTGTGTAGCTCCTCTGAGGACTGTATTCCAGCTCTCACATGTTACTGACGTTGCTGAGAAGTGTGAGTCGTGTAAAAATTGCACCATAAAGCATGTCAGTGTCCTGACTCATGTAAAGCCCCACCCTCTCTTTGTCCCACGGTCTCTCCCTCTTTCTTGTTTTCACACTCAGCTCAGTCCCTCATCACGTTCAAATGCAGATAAACATTAACCTTCCAGCCTTGAATTCTAATTACAATGAAACCATGGCACGGTCTCCGTGGGTTAAAGTCCCAAACTTTTATTAACTTTTTATTAATCTAAACCAGACTCCACCTTGAACACCAGATTAAAGAATGTTGTACCTGTGTTTTAAATAAATACAAAACTTCAGGGCTGGTATGTTCTTATCTTGTGTGTCGTTGGCAAAACATTCCTACGTCTGCATGCAACCTGGACAAACAAGTTCAAGTTCTGCTCACAGAAAAAAGAACAAAATCACATACCTTTGTTCCACGCTGAGAATACAATTCACTGAGGTAGAGCGATAGCAGAAGAAAGACACACAGCTCCCATGCAGCAGCTCAACCTGTTTGACCACACAATGTTGAACTTAATACAAACCATTGTCCTCCTGTCACTGCCTCAGAAACAACCCAGACTAAAACAACACAACACACCTACTGGGTAAAGTAATATGGCAGAGTTGCAGGTGAATGACATTAAGACACTGGCACTCAACATCTTGGTTTTTGTTCACAAGTTTTAATCAGGGGCCATAAAGACATCAGTGTTCAAGTCCTGATTCAGTAAGGTGCACATTCCTTGTTTACTGTTACCTCTATAGCTTAGAACAAAGTATTTTGAAAGTGTTCCTTGTTCAAGCACCTCAAAAAGCTTAGACAATAAAATGTCTTAAGAAAATGTCATTATTTGTTAGTATTGTCAGTAAATGACTTATATATCACAAATCATATTTACTGTTGGTAAAGGTAAAAAGATTTACTGACAGGACAGGAGCACTCAAGACGCCAATCAGATTTTACCTGGGGCAAGTGTATTCCCCCCACCCCTGGATCCTCCCCTGCTGTTACTGGTTACATTATCTGTAGTCTCTAAGTACTAATAAAAGTGTGCAGCCAATAACGCAACACTGTAGTGCTGTAGTACTTGACCATGACTTCTGGTTCTTGGTTGATTGTGAAACTTTATACAGTGTGCCTCATTATTAATAGATAAATCACTGACGCATGCTTTGACATAGTCTCATATGACAATGTCATTTTAAAATTAAGTTATAAATAATATTATCTTCTGGAGCACAGAGAACTAAAGGGAACTAAACTTGTTTTGTTGTTAAAGTAAAAAAGTGGCACTATTTTTTTTCAGATTCATTGGTCAGACCCCACCCCTCCACAAACTTTCATGGAAATTTGTTCGGCAGTTTCCGCATAATCCTGCCACTGAACCCATTGGAAAACATGACCTCATTGGTGGAGGTATCCAAGGAGTGGATTTGATGACAATAAACAACGCTCAAAATATTTTACCAGTGAAGTCGAAGACAAACAAATCTGGGACACTGTTTATTCATATATGTCGTATAACAGGTTGAACATCTTCTCAAGAAATACAGCGTTGCTCTCAATTAAAGCTGTGCGACGTGGAAGTCCTGCAGGGGTCTCTGCAGGGCAGCATCGGCAGAGACGAGCCAGCAACCCATTTGTGGGGGGGGGGCATTACTGTAGTCAACAGCACCGGTTCTACAAAAGAGAGATTCATGATTAATTTTTGTGTATTGATAATAATAACTAGCTCCCTCAAACAGCTGCACACACGTACATGACCGCGTCCATCGTCTGCTCATTGATCTTAAGCTTGGTGAAGGAAGGATGCCGCAACTCCTTATAAACAGGAAGTTTCAGAGCTGCACACAGAGGACACATAAAGAAATTACACTCAATTGATCAGTCTGGTTCTTAAAAAGACAATAATCAAACATTGATTGAATATATCAATGACCTGTTATTAAATCATAAGAGGAAATGAAGCTATTTTCTTGGCCATGAGCAGATACACAACCTTTTCACCTACCTAAAATTCCTCCAGTGCTGTTATCAGATGGCTGCAGCCTTAAAGCCGGCCACAGGAATTTTTCACCTTGCTTCTCATGAAGTAAGATGGCAATTCGTATGTCCCCAATGGCAACATCAACTTCCATGCTCCGTTTAATCAGCGTCAAACTAGAAAAACATGCACAATTTTTACTTCATTTTACGGCTCCTTGTTAAAGGCCCTGTACATCCCAAGTCCTCACACTAAAAGCTGTGTCTCAATTCAGAGGCTGCATCATTCAGAGGACACAGTGACCGATTGCCACTCTCACTCTCTCAGACGGTATCTTAGGAGGCACAACATGTCGAACATGGAGGCGAATGCATGGGCTACAACAGCAGAGGACCAAAAGTGGACATTTGAAGACAGGAAAACATGGCCTGGTTTAATGAATCTCAACTTCTGCTGAGGCGCACAGATGGTGGTGTCAGACTTTGGCATCGACAGCCTGAATCCATGATCTTGTGTCAGTGATCCAGGCTGTTGGTGGTGGTGTAATTGCGTGGCACGTTTTATTGGAACATTTTGGGCCTCTTAATACCAACTGAATGTCACAGGATATCTGAGTATTGTTGCGCACCATATGCATCCCTTCATGTTCACAATTGACATGTAATGACAGTAATTCAGTAAACTTCCGTCACCACGTCTGAATCCACGAGAGGTAGAACAGGAGAGTGACAATGTGCAGCTGACGAATCTGAAGCAAAGATGTGATTCAATCTTTCCATTTCATTTAACTGACGCTTTTATCCAGAGCGACTTACAGTAAGTGCCTTCAGCTATGAGGGTACAAATCCACAACAGCAAGAATCATGTAAGAAAATTAGCTTAATGTAACTGACTGTAACTGTGTCCAAATTCAATGGCTGCATTCGTCTGAGACTGCATTTGAAGACAGATTGCGTCACAGGGGCGTGAGTACACGGTCCCATTTCGAAGGCTCCTTCGAATGTATCCTTTCACCCCCAAGCAAGGAAGACTTGGGGATGATCCTACTAATCCTTCTTATTGTATCCTTTCCCAGGATTCATTGCACCTTAGTTTTTCAAGGAGATACACTTTTAATTTAAGTATCAGCCTCTATCAGCACTTTAACTGGGCAGCTCACAGCAAACTTCTCATTGTGTCCAACTGCCCTTTGGGACTTTCTGCCACTGGACTCAGACCCAAACCATTCTCTTTTTGAAAGCCTTTGAGAATGTTTGATTTGCAAGTATTTATGCTGTTTTTAATTTGGCTTCAGTCATTTTTACTGCTTTATGTCTTTTGTGGCCAATGTCATATTAGTCAACTGCATTCTCTGCCTTTTCTAAGAAAAGTGCCAGATAAATAAAGTTTATTAGGATTTTTATAATTATTGCAAAGGAGGGACAAGCTGGTGACGCAGATCATGGAAATCCTCTATAGACCAGACCACCTCACTGTGGCTGGCCTACTTCGTGTGCCCCAACACAGCTTGTATTATATGAGGAGCCATGTGTGGGGTATTACTGAATGTGACGTCACCAAATGCACCAATAAGAATGATAAGGAGGATGTTTTCAATCGAACTGCACAAATGGAGCAACTTTTGCGAGCTAGCTCAAGTTAAGCTGTGCTGCTCTAATCATGTGACCTGCCTCACTTTGTGGTTTATTTGAGTCGATCCAGCACCTCCATCAACCGAGCATCCACCTGCAGGCTCCGACTGGGGAGTTAAGGATATTTGCTCACAACTCATCATTATATTAAGTTAATCGTATCTGGGCAAGTGATGAAGTCAGAGCCTAAACGCTAAACTATGTTCTGCTGCTACAATAAACATTTCAAATGTGAGTTGTCTGGTGCGTCATGGATGTGCAGGGCCTTTGATATAAGTGTCACCTGTAAAGAGCAATTTACAGATGTTAACAAAAGTGATTCAATGAAAGTTAAGCATCATAAATAATGTTAGACGTTATGTTGATGTTATGTTCCAAAAAAGACGGAGTAGAGTTGCTCTGATCCTGGTGTAATTCCTGATCATTACAATACAAGGTTACCTTCCAGCTGTGATGGTCTCCTCTCCAGTATGGTGTGTCACTGTCTGTCCCTCTCGTACAGTGACTCCATTGACGTCAATCTCAATGAAATGGTCAGTTTTGACGTGGATGACGATCTTTGTGAAACCCCCATCTTGTACTGAGTCAAGCTCACCGTTCACAGTCAACTCTGGTACAAAAATAGAGCAAACGCAACTTAAAAGTGGGGACTACACATGAGATGATACACACTTCAACACAGACAAATAGATCCTGAGAAGAAAAGAGTTACAACAACTCTCTACAAACACGGAAAGCAAAAGGCATTCATTTAATATTAGTGTATGGGAAAATGAGACACATTACTGACCCCTGCTGGGACTGTGAAGTAGTTGAAGGCGTTTATTTCCAATGATGTCAAAGCACAGTGGAATAGAGTGACCGCCATCTTTGAGCAAAAACCTGTGAGATAAAGGACCTGGAGACACACAGACAGAGTCACACAGCTGATGGAAACATATGTCCCCCGCCCCAACCCCCAATTTAACCTCAGATGTATCATGGCATCTCGACTCTCAGGTGGTGGTGAGCACCTTTCTGTATGAAGACCATTTGAAATGTACATTTATGAGAAAAACATTGTGCTTCTATGGCAATGGTAGAAAGATTTCAAGAAATTTGCAGAGTGACTTAAGTTTACTACTCGCACAGACAAGAGAGTCGTAGCTGGGGTGCACTCCTGTTTTGTTTTTGTGTTGAAATGTGTTAAATTGAACATGTTTGGACCTAATCTGCTTATTTCCAAGTACACAACAATGGTCACACTCCTGCTCAATATCATTAAAATATTAATTGTTAAATGTTATGTTAATGTAATAATTATTATTGATAATTTTATCATCTACTAATTCAACAAACATCTGCCTGAGTAAGTGCATTCTCTGATTGGTTTTATTTCACCATGTCAGACAGACACAGACAATCGCTGGTGTCAGGTGCTGATCTCCATCATGAAGCAACATTCATGGAATATCCTCCTGTTTGGTCATTTGTCTTCCAAGTGAACGCATAATGTTCTTTTTGTTGCTGCCATTCTCTGTATTGAGTTTGAAGCTTTAATTTTGAAAAATTGAGAACTTGTGAGCTTGGTTTCTAGCAAACAGCCCATTCCAAACAGGCTGGTTCAGTTCATTCAATAATTTTAAGGTGAAGTGTGGCAATTTTGATTTTGTGTATAATAACAATGGTTAGATAGAAAGTACAAATTGATTTTATTTGTGCTCACTGTAACAAAAGTAACAATAACAAAATGTGAAAGAACCTGTGAACACCACCACTTTTTTAATGTTGGGCTGAACTGTGTTATATTCAATTCATGTTGTCTTTTATATTCCTGTAAGTGCACCATTTGCCCCACACCATGCACAGTGAAATACTTTATAATGTACACACTAAGTCTCTTTTTATTCAGAAATGGATAGATTTTATATATAGTACACTATAAATTACTTCGATGTGATACTCTACCTGTAGCAGTAGTAGCAGTAGCAACAGTAGCAGCAATAAATGAAGGAGAATCGTATTCTTCTATAGCCTCTGTGAATAAATCAACACAAAAGCAGTTAAATATATTTATATTACCAAACTTTCAAAGACTTATTAATTTACATTACCAGTATTGATTCATGCAATCTACATTTGTTTTGAAAATTTAGTTCAGTTTAAAAGATTCTACAGCCTTGGTGGAATTATGCTTTGTTAGTTGTTAGTTGCCATAATATGAAATGAAAATGTACCTATGTCCAGGAATGGCATGGGGAGAAATGTTGACTTTGAGAGGCCTGGAAAATGAAGAGTTAATTTTAAGATTTTAAACCTTGAACATCACATCAACTTACTTTAGTCATCACTTATGTTATAGATGAGTAATGGTGTCTAGGAATGATGAAAACAATTCATTTAGCAAATTAAACAAAAAAATATTTCCTTTTCTATTTAAAAGAGAAGAACATCTGTTTTTTTTCCAAGTACTCCAGACCATCAGGTGTGAGCCAAACCTTTTCACCTGCTTGCATCTATAATATTCACATCCATTGAAAAAAATATAAAAAACGTGGAGCCACTATGTGTACATACCTGGCATAGAGCTCATACGATGGCCAGGGAGACATGTAAAAGAGAAAGAAAAGAAAACATAACTTTAAATTGCATGAAAGAGGCAATTTCAACAGTTGAACCAAGTTGTTCATTATTTCTTTACATTTTTTCTTACTGCTAACTTTTTTGTGCGTTTTTTTCCTTCAGCCACACAATTGTGTAACTTTGTGTCTTTAAAAGCTCCAAATTATTTTATTGCATTGTTTGAAAAAACCCTGATAATAATTACTGCTCATAAAACAATTAAGTTGTTAATTAATTCATTAACTGTATTTTCAGGCAATATTATTATATTGATTTCAACATCCCACTTTGACTAATTTGATTCTTCAATATATCAACAAAGATTTGGGTCATACAGGGAGAGACTAATGATATTGGCCTGAGCACCAGTTAGGTAAGCAATACGTCCATCTCAGCCCATGCTGATTAAAGCATAAAGAAACACATACATGTCACTGATATGAAGTTGCTCCACAACGTTCATGTAACTGAACAACTCTGATGGTGATCTCCCATCATCAAATATCCTTCTAAAAATACCTTTAGTCCAAGTGCAGAAACTCCTCATCATTGTACTTTTTAATTTCACAAGGCAATGACACAAAAATTGTAGTTACATGTGAACAGTGCAATTGTACAAATGCAATCATGTTTTCACGTACCACCAGCACCATAGCCTCCAAACATCGTTCTGCCTGTAGAAAAGGGACAAGATGAAATATAACATTAAGATGTGGTCACTTTGAAATACTCCTCCCAAGGCCTCATCAATTTGCTGATTAATCAAAGGCTTTTAGTAAAACACAAAACATTGAATTTTCTTTGCATGGTTAAAACAAAAAGTTTTCAAAGTGACTTGGAATCTGGGCAAGAGGGGGAATGATCTGGACAGAGGTTTGTAAATCTTCTAATTAAACGAAATTAATTAAAAATCCTGTGATCACTGCTAGATTCGAATTCATGAGACGTCATAAAGGTGGGAGCATATACAAAGAGCTAACTAGCTAGTCTACTGAACGTGAGCTGAAACAGTTGCAGCAGTGGTTAGTCACACTATAATAACAAATAGCAGGGCTGCCCCTGACAGATGACACCACGTACAGTTTATTGTTTAGACAAACTTACACTGAAAAACAGAAGTTCAGGTTTTGTGTGTATGAGGCGATGACTATTACACTGTTATGTTTTTGTGGCTGTGGAATAAGTCGTGCCTGTAATGTTTCTATAGGTGAGTCAGGTTGAAAATGAAAAAAACGTGGAGCCGCTGTGTGTACATACCTGGCATAGAGTTCGCACGACGACCAGGGACACATGTAAAAGAGAAAGAGAAAGAAAACATAACTTTAAATTGCATGAAAGAGGCAATTTCAACAGTTGAACCAAGTTGTTCATTATTTCTTTACATTTTTTCTTACTGCTAACTTTTTTGTGTAATTTTTTTCCTTCATCCACACAATTGTGTAACTTTGCGTCTCTAAAAGCTCCAAATTAATTCACTTTACAACAATTACTGCTCATAAAACAATCACGTTGTTAATTATTGGTCATTAATAACTGTATTTTCAGGCATAATTATTTATATTGATTTCAAAATCCCACACAGATTGATTTATCAATATATCCACAAACTCAATACCAGGAATCTGTTGCTCTTGTTAAATGCAATAATTGCATTGATGTATTGTATTGTAATCTGATGCCAAATAAAGCAGATGTGTCTAACCTGGTATAGCAAAGTGCCCTGACAATTTTGCAATGTGCTTATTTTGCTCAGGTTAGTTGCTTACCTGCCTGACCTCTTGTGAGACCACCTGTCCCCCTATGTAGGGTATGACAACCTCCTCCTGCACAACCTCCTGCTAAACCTCCTGCAGAACCACCCCTCCGTTGCTCTGTGTGTGTAGCACCTTCCTTGGGCTTATGGAGCACATCTGTGCTCTCTCCTGAAGGCTTGGTGACCACCATGGATGTAAGTGGGGTCACAAAGCTGTACTTCAATGACAGCTCCATGGCCTCCTCCTTTACTTTGTCCTTCTCTGGTCCAGATAACTGCAGTCTGTGTCACAGTTGTTTCAAACAAGAAAGCTGACATTTGATCATCTGATAATGAATCAACAACAATTCTCAATCAAATTGTTTCTCAGGTCGTGGAAAAAAGTAATGAGCTTTTTCCAGTATTTATAACTATTAGGTGATTCAACATTTGAGTGGTTTTACAGATAGGTTTGCAGCCATTCAATAAATAACTAAGTACAAAAATAAGGACAAAAAGATGGCTGACATCACACTCACTCTTTCTCCAAAAGCTGTTTGACTGTGAGGTAGGCCCAAACCCTCTGGATGTGGTCATCAGACACTTTTTCAGTGATGTTTGTTTCCGAAAACATCACCTTGCTAGTCCCCTGTCAAAGTATAAACAGGAACTTTGCAAGAATAATAATAAATGATAATAATGAATTTAATTTCATGGTGCCTTTCTAGACATCCAAGGAACTCATGCATAATTAAAATAAACCAAACGTTAAAATGAGATTCGGAGCAATAGACACAGTTCATTATGTAAATACTATGAAGATAACAAAGATTCCAGCAGATGTGCAGTGTGGATCAGTGCTTACAGAGATGGCCACAACTTGCGGAATAAAGGTTTCAAGGTTGTTGTCAGAGATCTGACCGGCCACCACGATCTCAGAGCCATCATAATACTGGCTGAAGTTAGTCTGGGTTAGATTGGTCCCACCCAAATATATCATTGTCACATCTGTCAGCAGAGGAGTGGCCACCTCTTGATAGAAACCCTGTTGAAAATCAATGTGGTCAAAATATGTTTCAGATAAGATAAGACAGCAGCAGATAGTCAGAGTGAGGTAGACAAGAGAAAATAAACACGTATAGACCAGAATGAAATAGGCTATTAAATAAAATTCAATAAACAACATTAAATTAAATATGCATAATATACACCTTTCACTACAAACTGAAATATGATTTGTAGAGAAACGTACTTGAGTGAAGTGCAGTGGTACAGGACGGGTACATCAATTGAATTTGTTACAATCATGCACTTGTCAATGTCAGAAATAACATGGTAAACTGGATATATTCAAACTTTGAAGGAAGCCTCAGCACTGAATACCTTCAGCTGTAAATCAGCATCAGAGTCCTCATAAATCCGCCGTGCCGCACCATTGTTCTGCAGCGACATCGTCTCGAGGAACTTAAAGTTGACATCATAACCAAAACCAAGACAGTAGAGTGGGAATTTGTCTGCAATGGCGTTCTTTATATTTGACTGTATTTGGTTCAGATCTGTCACACCTGCAAAGACACATGACGTGTGGCAAGTTAAAAGTTCCCTTAAACAGTGCAGCCAACAACTATCTAGCGTTAGTAAGAGGTTACAGTGCATACAATTTTGCAAGTGTGTTTTATAATAACCTGAAGTTGGGTCTCCGTCAGTGAGAAGTATCAGGATTGACGCTGAACCTTCTCTGGGATGTGCGTTCAGCATGCGGGCTCCTTCCAACACTGCTATGTTAATGTCCGTGGCTAAAATGAGATGGAAAATGTTTCATCCCTGCCAGTCTGCTGTTAAATGCATCGTATCCCAAAATAAATAGAATAATTGAAAAAAATTCACCTCCTCTATCGTTTATATTCTCAGCAAATTTCTTGGCACTCTTCAGGTTTTGTTTGCTGGCCTGAACAAGTTCTCGTTTCCAGTGAAAGATTTCACTGTCAAAGGATACGAGACCAAAGTAGTCATCTTCTGCCAGGTCACCCAAGATATGGATTAATGCTATTCTTGTCTGAGAAATATAAAAAACATAATTTGCTCATTAAAACTACAACATTGTGTCATAGATGTGTGTCAATTCAGGAGCTGAATCCATTTAACAGCCTCCAAGGCTGCTTTTAAACACAGATGGTGGACAAATGTGTCCTTTCATCCCAGAGCAGTGAAGACCCCAATGGGGCCAACATATCCCCAGACTCGTGACTCTTCAGTGACTAAATTTCAAAGAAATAATGCCGTCAGTAAGCAGCAAGACCAAAATGTCAGATGACTACACTTTCAATTACTTAAAATGTAAGGTTGTATGCTCCCGCCACCCAGTGCAGTGTCAGGCTGCATACATTTCTTTTCTTAAACTCAAGGACGGATGGACAATACGAAAACATGATGCAAAGGGCATTAAAACATTTTGTCGTATGCAACAGCAGGATGTTATTAGCCGTTAGTGGTAAAGGTGGGACAGGCTGGTGACGCAAATCATAGATTTTTTCACAGATGGCATCCTGTGAAGAAAGTGGCCGATGAAAAGGGACACAGCTCATTTGTCACAAACTCACACCGTACCTGTTGAATCTTTCTGCCATGCATGGAGCCACTTTGATCAATAATGAAGACGACATTCTTGGGTATTCGGGGAAGATCATGCGGAGCGAAGTGATGAACAAAATACCCAACCGATCTCTTGTGGAGAGCAAGAAGAAAGTTTGAGAGGTTAGAAAAGACAGAAGACATAATATACATTTAAGAAAGCATGGTATTTTTTAGCCCTCAATGCTAAATGCTGATAAATTAATTGAAGTCATTACAAAATCGATGTACCTTAATGTCTCCCAGTGAGGCGTTTCTGTTCACATCATAAACTATAACCAGATCTCCATTCATACCCTTCTCTCCACAGCCTTCACATGTTTTCTGTTGGTCCTCTGTGGGGTAGAAATACACCCACGCCTGTAAACAGGAAAAATCAAATTTCATCAATCGGAAAGATCATCACATTTGAATAGATTCATTGTCATTGACACAGCATGTTGGTGAGAACCACAGTTTTTGTATTTGCAGTTAGCCAAGTCTATTGGGGACTAGACTGAAGTTAATGTGAGGGAACCACAGAGGCAGATTCAACACATTATTGTTGAAGATGATATTTCAATGTGTAAATATCTAAATAATAAACGTGCAAACAGACATGTGTAAATGCTGAACTGTGTAAAACACAATTTTTTAGTAAATTAACTGACATGTGAATTAACTTCTAAACCTTACAATTGCAATTTAGTTGAAGGTCCAGTGTGTAAGATTTGGGTGAAAGGGATCAATTGGCAGAAATTGAATATAAAATCATCCTAGTGATGTTTTCACTATTGAGTGATCATCTAAATTGTACAAAAAGTTTTTTTTCTTTATCCTAAAATGAGGCCTTTATATTTAAATACTTTATATTTACATCAGGAGCAGGTCCTCTCTATGGAGCCTGCCATCTTTTTGACAGTCGTCCAAACTTTTTTTTAATTTTTATGAAAACAAAAGGCTACCACAGCTTCTCTTTCATGTTTGGAAGGTGAAGGTGAGGTAAGGGGTATTCAGTTGCAACATGCAACATCACCACTAGATGTCACTAAATTTTACACACTGAGCCTTTAAACACACATCAGAATTTCCCTGCCTGCTGTACCTGTTTGTCTGCGTGTGTTTTGGTGATGGCATTAGCCAGGGCATTGGTGCTCAGTCCTCCTTGAACGTTAATGAAACTGATGCCGGCGTTCTCGTGAATATACACATCCACCTGACAATGAAAATGAAATAAATATAGTTAAAAGCTCTACAATATGTTAGTGCCCCAGTATTGTTTTCCCAGATTACTACTGAAAAGACACACCTTGAAGTCTTTGACAGGTTGCATGGGGCGAGCGTGGATTTGCAGCTCGTACTTGCCAAGCCGGCGTTTCAGCAGCTCCTCGTATGTGAGTTCAAAGGTCACCTTTTTGTGAGCACCCACATTGACAGAAGTCTTAAATTCCTCCAGGGTCCTCCCAACAGAACTGCAGCACAGACAATAATTATAGTGTTAAAGCTGTGGTCCCCACCTCCATCTGGAGCTTGGACCCTTTCAAAGTAAATGATGTTTTCTTGTGACACATCATCAAGGGTCATAGCCACAGTGTGGGCATGAATTTTGAAAATTTGAACTGAGGAGTGACTTCTCCTTCTCAGATTGATTCATGAAGGGAATTAATAGACCTGAAGATGTAAAAGTAGCTTTTGCAAGAAAACATTTTTTCGAAGAAAAGTCCCAAAGGTTATTCAGTGGTCTAAAATACAAGATTAAACCCTCTTCTATAAGATATATAACTCAGTGAATGTATGAATTGATCTGAGTACCTGACAATCCCAGCGCTCTGTCCGCTGGACACAGCGTCACTGTACTGCTTCTGAGCCTGATCCTTAGCTTTCACAACACCATCATACGCCTGCCCATCTATAAACCTGAGGAAGACCAGGGAAGATTTCAATTTCATAAATAAACTTCTCATTTTATGTTATTCAATGTGTATTTCCTCATGTGCAGATGCCTGCAAATATCCACCAGTCATTTTTGCACCACATACATTTTGAATTTACTGATGAAGGCATTCTTGGGAATCCGGACGTGGAACTCTATTTCCTTGGACTCGTCCATGCGATTGGCCACACGGCTTGTAATGACAGTGGTGGCATAACGACTGGTCACTGTGGCGTTGATGTGAAAGCTGTAGATGTCCCAATCCTCCTGAACATATGTGGCAGACACATTGCACAATGTGAGTGTGTGTTTTCTTTACAAGGCTGCATTGATCCGTGGGTGATGGCAAACTGACCAAAGATCAGATGATGGTGACAAACAAGGTAATGGTGGGAGGCATCAATGAAATCTCATTGGTCTGAGTGCAGATACTCCCCCTCCTCCTTATTTTTCATTTTGATTTCAAAAGTCAATGACTTTGTGTTTGTTTGTGTGTGTGTGTGTGTGTGTGTCTGTGTGTGTGTGAGTATGTGTTTGTGTGTGTAGGGGGTGTATGTGTGTCTGTGTGTGTGTGTGAGTGGATGTTTGTGTGTGTGTGTGACTGGGTGTATTTTCTACGATCTTTTTGAAGTACACAATTTGCTTGAACAAGGAACAATTTTCAGAATATATGCAAATAGTATTGGCTTTGTTCAAAGCTATAGAGCTAAAACTAAACAAGAAATGCCCCCTCTCTGTAAATTGTGGCCCCATGAAAAATCATAGATCAGCCACTGCTCTTAAGACTAAAGACATTTTCATGACAGTAACACAAGATTTTAGGATTTGTATTTATGTCTGCTTCTGAGCTCCAGGAGGGAGATGAGCCTTAAACTGTAACTATGTCAACATATTTATGTTCCTACAACATGACTAATGTAAGTTCACACACACACACACACACACACACACACACACACACAGAGGCAGAGTTCAGTGTGTTGCAACTGATAAATGCTGCACCGAAACTACACCGAAACTAAGCTTCACGCATATCTGTTCATACTGTCTGTCAGATGTATATATATATATTTGAAACGTTCTTCTTCCTGGCAGTGTTGTTCGCTCTCTGTCCGTTCTGTAAACTTACCTTGTTTGGCAGACCTGTAACCAAGGCCAGCAGCAGCCCAAAGAGGATGACGTGCACCACAGCTCTCTCCATGATAACCTCTCCCACCTGAGTGCAAACCAGGAGGCTGGAAACCTCTTTTAAACCCAAACAGGAATAGATTTATATTTTTTTAAGGGCAAACTCTTCCCTCTTTGGGGAAAACACACCCACCCAGCCACCCACAAATACACACTCACAATCACACACGAATAAATAAAAAAACCTTTTATCTCAGGGCAAAAGAGCAGAAACTCTATACTCTGAGTAGGACAAACACAGAAACCTTCAGGACAGAGAGACATATTGAGCACTGAACACAATTACATGACAAACACTGTATGGTGTCAAGCAAAAATGAATTTATTATCACTGTCTTCAAATATGTACAGCTTCTCTGGGAAAACGGGTGATACAGCAGGCAAAAGCAAACGTACAACTACCTTTCATGGCAAGCGTTTAAGAGAGCAAAGACAGGAGTTACTGTGTGAAGAACAAAGAAAACAGCTATTTAAAAGAAAACAATCTATGTCATCATGAAAGAAATTGTGCCTTTAAGAGAAATATTCATTTCAATTTTATAAATTTGATCTAATTCTAAATTTTGTGCAAAACATGGAGGAATTTTATCAGGGCACTGATAAACACATAAAGTTCTGTTTACTCACCACAGGGAGTACTAACTAAGCCTGTGCAAACCGCTTTTTAACAATAAAGACTAACTCCTGATGATGCCAATGATGTTACTGAGCTGCATTATGGGAAATGCGGTTGCCAGAATTTCTGGATCTTCACCCTTGCTTGAGAGTCAGAGTATCTCAGCCTGGTACAAGTTATTATACCAGTCCTACTTCTACATAATACATCAAATCACTGATGCATTCAACTAACGACTCCACTGAGGGAATCATACAATAAACTTAAAGTGAAAGATGTTACTTTCAAGGCTGTACTTTTGAAATAACTGAAGCGGTGAAGGTGCAATATTTGTTGGAGGTCTTTGAAATGAATCCAGCCATGATAAATACAATTAGATGCAAGAGCCGATTGATTGTGTGAGGCCAGCGTCTAATCAACACAATTTACAAAACCTACTCATTTTACAAAGAGTTGTGTCCTCTCCTTAGTTCACATTCTTCATGACTGTGCCTGTAACGTCTTCATATCATCGGCATGTATCAAACAGCAACCAGCCAGTAATCTCTTAAAAACCGCGAAGGCAACGATATATAAAGCTACAGCCTGCATTGGTAGAGGTATGGGATGATTATGATTTTGACTCGTGCGTTGAGTCCTTCAGCCCTCCTTGTCGTATGATTTCAATGCCGTAAAATCCTCCCGTGTATCACGACATCTACCTGTGCACATTCAGAGTATCAGTGTATTAATGCAGACTGTGGTGCAGTTGGCAGGGCGATCCTACCAAAACTAACTCCAGTGACCAAGGAAAAACTTACAGTCATTAAATAACCTAACTTGTTTTCGGAACATTTTCTTACAATCTGTGATATTTGATGAGCTGCAACCTCGACCTGATTATATTCCGTTCCATCACTAAACTAAACGTGTTTTTTTAATCCACCTTCATTTTTCAAATCGTATAATTGACCTTTGGAGGTGAAAGCGTATATATAGAATATCTAGTATCTGCTTTGAATCTAAATGATTTTCCTCAGAAAACTGAAACTGCAATTCAAGGCACTCTCACAGGTGTTTTTTTCACCTGAAGATAAAGTTCAAGTTCATTCAAATCAAGTTTCAAGCGCTTGTGCTGGAAGCATTTCATCGATGAAGAATGAAACCTGTCCTTGGACTGAGAGAACAGAGTAAAGCAAACCGGCCCTAGTGACCAGGAAGTCAAGTCTTCACAGTGACGGCATGATGGTGACTAATAGGTTGTTGCATTAAGACACGTAGCTGCAGCACCGACCTATTGATTACCTAATGATAACTGTACAAACACAGGAGCTATGTACAAACAAGAATTCATATATATATATACATGTGTCAGCTTATATGTAGGGAGGGACATGAGCAACATAAACATGAAGTATTTATATAAACAAAGCGTGGATGGACAGTACATTATGTACAGTGAGTGGAGACGTACGCAATGACAGAAATCTGCACTTTAAAGCCTGACTGAGCGAACTATACATCTTTAAATGTACTACTAGCAGCACACTGCACACGAATGTGATGTACAGTACGTACATGAGGTATGTTGATGCAAATGAAACAGAAACAACATAAAACTTTAGACAGGTATGTACATAAGGTAACTTACATGCTGGTTAGATATATACAGTATATGCACATAAGACTCACTAGAACTATAACGAGATTTGTTTTTGGTAAAAGAGTTGGAAGACACAATGCTACTCAGGTTAAAGAGTCCTGGCTTTGGGGTCGGGCGGCTGATATGATGGAGCTGCAGTGGGGCTGGGGGCGTCCTGGGCTGAGGGCGCAACAGGAAAGACAAAAACTCCTGAAGGAAGAGGGAAGGAGGACAAGGCCCTGAATGGAGCGGGTGAGTGTAGCTGATAGCTGGGATGGGGCCCCGTGGAGGGGCTGGTCGTCATCGTTGACCTGGGGCTGTCAGGCCATGTCAGGGACCGGGTGCAGGCCTCTGGACCAATTCCTGTCCATGAAGATACCTGAAGAGTCAGAAAACAAACCATAATATCTCGATTGGAAATGCTGCCTGACAACCTGTAGCACATTTAAAACTTGAAATGAAAAATTGAAATGTTTCTGCCAATACAGCTTTTCCCCATCAGGCCTCAGTATCCAAACACAGCACGATTTCCATTGTACCATTGGCACATATTGTTCCATTAACAGCATCAAACTCACATATGAAGCACTAGCCAGTTGTCTGTGTGTTCGATGCACAACCTGATCCCACAGCTGCTGCCCGCTGATGCTAAGAGAGTTGGTGCGCGGCCTGTGGGTGACGATAAGAACCTCCTGGGCCCAGTCGTCCATCAGCCGCTGCAAGTCTTCAGGCAGGTCTCTTTCACTGGCACTCGAGGAAGTGCCCGTGTATGTGCCTGTCTTGTTGTTGCTGTTATTGGCCTGGGCCTGGGCCAGTCCCATCACCGGCTGATGAGGAGGAGGTGGAGGCGTGGCACCGGCAGGCAGCTGCTGTGATTGATTGAAGGTGCCAGCTCCGGCTGCAGACCCTGACAGAACACACACACACACACACACACACACACACA